CTGAACCACCTCAACAACCCTTCCTCAGCCCTCTGGACAACAGTTTTGGTAATCCCGCACCTCCTTCTAACTTCCAAACTACGAATTCTCTGCATTATATTCACACTACACATTGCCCTCAGACATGACATCTCCACTGCCTCCAGCCTTCTCCTCGCTGCAACATTCATCACCCATGCTTCACACCCACATAAGAGTGTTGGTAAAACTATACTCTCATACATTCCCCTCTCTGCCTCCAAGGACAAAGTTCTTTGTCTCCACAGACTCCTAAGTGCACCACTCACCCTTTTCCCCTCATCAATTCTATGATTCACCTCATCTTTCATAGACCCATCTGCTGACATGTCCACTCCCAAATATCTGAATACATTCACCTCCTCCATACTCTCTCCCTCCAATCTGATATCCAATCTTTCATCACCTAATCTTTTTGTTATCCTCATAACCTTACTCTTTCCTGTATTCACTTTTAATTTTCTTCTTTTGCACACCCTACCAAATTCATCCACCAATCTCTGCAACTTCTCTTCAGAATCTCCCAAGAGCACAGTGTCATCAGCAAAGAGCAACTGTGACAACTCCCACTTTATGTGTGATTCTTTATCTTTTAACTCCACGCCTTTTGCCAAGACCCTCGCATTTACTTCTCTTACAACCCCATCTATAAATATATTAAACAACCATGGTGACATCACACATCCTTGTCTAAGGCCTACTTTTACTGGGAAATAATTTCCCTCTTTCCTACATACTCTAACTTGAGCCTCACTATCCTCGTAAAAACACTTCACTGCTTTCAGTAACCTACCTCCTACACCATACACCTGCAACATCTGCCACATTGCCCCCCTATCCACCCTGTCATACGCCTTTTCCAAATCCATAAATGCCTATATACACCTGGAAAATCCTAGAGGGACTAGTACCGAACTTGCACACGAAAATCACTCACAATGAAAGCAAAAGACTCGACAGACGATGCAACATCCCCCCAATGAAAAGCAGGGGTGTCACTAGCACGTTAAGATACAATATAATAAGTGTCAGGGGCCCGAGACTGTTCAACTGCCTCCCAGCATACATAAGGGGGATTACCAATAGACCCCTGGCTGTCTTCAAGCAAGCACTGGACAAGCACCTAAAGTCGGTACCTGACCAGCCAGGCTGTGGCTCGTACGTTGGATTGCGTGCAGCCAGCAGTAACAGCCTGGCTAATCAGGCTCTGATCCACCAGGAGGCCTGGTCACAGACCAGGAAGTCTCTCCAGGTAAACTCCAGGTATGTGCAGGTTACTTGTGTAATGTTCTAGTCACAGTATTGTGCCTTTCTCTTCTTTCTAAGGTACAATAAATGAGAGAGTAACAAGTGATCATCCTGTCATGGACTCCGACACTACAAGAATATTACACCAGCTTATACAGAACCATCTCCCACCAAGGCAGGGTGACCTGAAAAAGAAACACTTTCACCATCATTCACACTACCACTGTCTTGCCAGAGACACAGAAATATGACAGTTTAGATGTCCCTCTAAGAAGAAAATATCTCAAACCCTCCTTCAGAGTAGACACTGTATTTCCCACCTCCAGGATTCAAGTCTGGCTAACCGGTTTCCCCGAATCAGTTCACTGGTACTACAATACGTAATGAGCCACACGGCTTCAACTATTTTCATAAACATAATACCCAGACTCTATCTTGTAAGAGCAAACCTTGTGTGTGATGAAAATAGTTTTGAAAAGTGACAAGCTGAAGAATGTGGTACTTGTGCAACATTTGGGAATATTGAGGAAATGTTTCACCAGCCAGTGGCCTCGTCAGTCCAGAACAGAGAAGAACGGTGGAAGATAAGGAGGAACTTGAGGTAATCAGCCCCTTAGTCTGGAGTCAATGTGTTCTGTCCATCATGACTGACAGACCAAACACACGGACTCCAGACCGAGGGACTGAGTCAATGTATTCTGTCCATCATGACTGACAGACCAAACACACGGACTCCAGACTGAGGGACTGAGTCAATGTGTTCTGTCCATCATGACTGACAGACCGAACACACGGACTCCAGACTGAGGGACTGAGTCAATGTATTCTGTCCATCATGACTGACAGACCGAACACACGGACTCCAGACTGAGGGACTGAGTCAATGTATTCTGTCCATCATGACTGACAGACCAAACACACGGACTCCAGACTGAGGGACTGATTAACTTAAACTTCTCATCTCCCACCTTTCCTCTCTGCACTGGACTGAAGAAGTCACTGACTGGTGAAATATTTCCTCAATAAAGATTATCAAATATTACACAAGTGCTACATTCTTCAGCATAACTTTTACTGCTTTTGTTTAGAAATATTTATATTGTACCAACAAATAAAAAGTCAAATCTAAATAAGAACACTGTAAAAGATTATGTAAAGATATTTGATAGAAGAGCAACGTGATGAAAGTAATAAAAAGTGTAGGCAAAGAAAGACTAGTTATCAGAAAGATCAAAAAGACGCAATACCATGACTGCAACAACACACAGATAACTTGCACATAGGAGAGAGGAGCTTATGTAGATGTTTCGGCCTGACTTATCTGTGCTCCAGTTCCCCGAATTAAGCCTGAATGCCTTCCACATCCCCCCCCCCAGGCGCTGTATAATCCTCCGGGTTTAGCGCTTCCCCCTTGATTATAATAATAATAATCGGCCTGACTTGGACCATTTACAAAGTGTGACTTTTAAATGGTCCAAGTCGGACCAAAATGTTGTCATAAGCTCCTCTCTCCTATGTGCAGGTTTTTTGTGTACTTGGTATCAGATTGGAGAGAGGGAGTATAAAGGAACATATGAAAGGAGGAACACTGCAGTAGGTCTACTGGCCTATACTAGGAAGATCCTTCTTAAACCTCAGCCCACTAATAAAAATATTTGCCCAACCCATTACCAGTGTTACCCTAGTATAGGAGGTTTTGTGGGCAAGGGGCTTGGACTTCCAGAAAGCGTGCGTGAGCGTGTTAGATAGGAGTGAATGGAGACGAATGGTACGTGGGACTTGACGATCTGTTGGAGTGTGAGCAGGGTAATATTTAGTTTGGAGGGATATGTTGTGTATCTTCATACGTATATGCTTCTAAACTGTTGTATTCTGAGCACCTCTGCAAAAACAGTGATAAAGTGTGAGTGTGGTGAAAGTGTTGTATGATGATGAAAGCACTTTCTTTTTGGGGATTTTCTTTCTTTTTTGGGTCACCCTGCCTCGGTGGGAGACGGCTGACTTGTTGAAAAAAAAAAAAAAAAATTCAGGGAAACCGGCTATTTTCATATAGTCGGACTTGAGTCCTGGAAATGGGAAATACAATGCCTGCACTTTAAAGGAGGGGTTTGGGATATTGGCAGTTTGGAGGGATATGTTGTGTATCTTTAAACGTATATGCTTCTAAACTGTTGTGTTCTGAGCACCTCTGCAAAAATAGTGATAATGTGTGAGTGTGGTGAAAGTGTTGAATGATGATGAAAGTATTTTCTTTTTGGGGATTTTCTTTCTTTTTTGGGTCACCCTGCCTCGGTGGGTCACCCTGTCTCGGTGGGAGACAGTCGACTTGTTAAAAAAAAAAAAAAAAAAAAAAAAAACACTATTAGCTCATGTGCAAGTCCCACCCCTCTCACTCGTGTATTTATCTAACCCATATTCGAAGCTAGTCAAAGCTTTAGTTTGTGACCCTACTAGGTAGACTGTTTCACTTTTCCACTACTGTATTTCCAAACCAATACTTTCCTATATCTTTTCTAAATCTAAACTTAACCATACACAAATAACCCGCAAATAACCCGTAAATGGTCCAACTTGGACCATTTACAAAGTCACACTAACGAAAAGGAGAGAAGGAGGGAATATACATAGGCTAGCAGATAGGGACAGGACAAGAGAGGTAGTATGAAAGGAGGAGGAGAGGTAGTGGAAGGAGGAGAGGTAGTGGAAGGAGGAGAGGTAGTGGAAGGAGGAGAGGTAGTGGAAGGAGGAGAGGTAGTGGAAGGAGGAGAGGTAGTGGTAGTGGTAGAGGTAGTAGTAGTAGTAGTAGTGGAGTCAGTCGAATACTAAAAGAAGTGCACTGCAAGGGAGCTAGGGGCAGTACTCCTCTTTTTAGTATTTGACAACTCCCACCCTACTACTATATTCACCATACCTCTCTCCCCTTCCAACTTTCTTTGACCCTCACAGTGCTGTTCCTATTCTCCCTCGTATTCTCCTATTTTATTTCCTTTAATCTTCCAATCAAACTGTACATAACAATCCCCCAATAGATTAAATGGGTAACTTGACCATTTACAAATGTGACCTTACATTTGGAGAAAGTGAATATACATATGCAAGAAAGTGACTATGATAGAAGTTTAGAAAGTGGTTGGTGGCAGATGGGGTAGAAGAAAGGGTGAGAAGGAAAGGAGGGGAAAGAAGGGTGGAAGGAGAGATAGATAGGAAAAGTTTATATGGTAGTCAGTAAGGGAATCAATACCAAGAAGACTGTCAAGACTATTTGATACTGGGTATTTAGTTTTAATAATGCACAGAGATAATATTACTACCACAAAACCATCTTTAACCTTTCCATATACACCCTCTTGTCCACAATGTCGCTGGCTATATTACTCAACTCTCCTTGTGAACTGTCAGTAAACGTGCTCAAGGACGGAAATTTCATAAGAACTTCTCTGCCTACGTGCAGATCATTGTATAGCACTAACGGTATTGCTTTTTTTTTTTTTATTTAAATTATTAGAATCAGAATACATTGTAAATCCATATTAAGCGCTGGCATGTGGGATATGTTAATAAAACAAGTTCGTAAACAAGCGTATAAGGCTGTAAGGTAATGTATAATTAACAGAACTACTTTAAATCTTGGAGCCCAATAAAGCGTCATCCAAGGATGAGTACCATATTATTATATCAGACTACGTGAAAACTAAGTTTTAATATTGCATCAAGGAGGATAATATTATACAATCAGAACTACATTGTAAACCTGCCAGTCATACAGCACTGCATCAAGGAGGATATTATTATTACAATCAAAACATTGTAAACCTGCCAGTCATACAGCGCTGCATCAAGGAGGATATTATTATTACAATCAGAACTACATTGTAAACCTGCCAGTCATACAGCGCTGCATCAAGGAGGATATTATTATTACAATCAGAACTACATTGTAAACCTGCCAGTCATACAGCGCTGCATCAAGGAGGATATTATTATTACAATCAGAACTACATTGTAAACCTGCCAGTCATACAGCGCTGCATCAAGGAGGATAGATGCAGTAGAAATATCACATTTGAAAGCAATGTGTGGTGTGAATATTATGCAGAGAATTCAAAGTATAGAAATTAGATGGTGTGGAGTTACCAAATCTATAAACCAGGCTGCTGACAAGGAGCTGTTGAGGTGATTTGAGTATTTAGAGAACAGAACAAAATGGAATGGCCAAGAGAGTGTATAAATCTGGGGAAAAGGAAGGAGGGTCAGGGGTTGTCCAAGGAGGGTTGGAGAAAAGAGGTAGAGGTGGTTTTGAATCCTAGAGGCTTGAACATCCAGCAGCTTACAAAAGTACGTGCAATTGGAGTGAATGGAGATAAGTGGCTTTTATGGCTTGACATACTGTAGGAGTTTTGACCAAGATAACATATATGAAAGATTTGGGGAAACTAAATGACATGAGTCCTGGAGGAGGGAAGCAGAGTGCCTGCACCCTGAAGGAGGACTGGGGATGTTACAGTTTGGAGTGTCATCTGAACTGTAATATCTGCACACTTCTACCAAGACAGTTATACTTTTTAATGAAGAAATGCAAATATGTGTCCTTTTTTATTTGCCGCTCTAACTTGGTGGGAAATAGTTGCCATGTTAAAAAAAAAAAAATTGTAAACGAGTGTATAAACTAAATTTTAACATTAAGTTTTGTATATAATACTGCAGAGTGAATAATACTAAATCTATATTGTAATTAAATTCAATAGCCAAATTAATTAAATGAAAGCACTAGTGTGATGAAATGAGAAATGTATGAAATACAAGTGCTGCTGTATCATTTATACATGTATACGTAACTAATATATGTGGTATAGTAAATCACTGCATTTAACTCTTTCACTGTCCAGATCCCTGAAGTTAATATTGCTCTCAGTATCCATGTTTTTTAAAAATAAAATTTTTTTCCAAAATGATACAGAATCTTTTTTAGAAGGTGGTGGATCAGACCCTGACCCACCACGAGACCTGGTCTCAGACCGGGCCGTAGGGGGGGGGGGGCGTTGACCTCCGAAACCCTCTCCAGGTATACTCCAGGTATACAAGTACAAAATCTGATGAAAAACTTATGCAATTATGCAGGAGCAAAGTTAGCAGTCTTGATGCAATTTACGCATCGGTGATTTTGCCCACTTCAAGTCTCATTTTAGGCCAATTTCCATTCCTGCTTTCAACCAAATTCTTAGGTATTTCACTAGTATCCTTAAGTTTTATCAATTGAGCACAAGAAACTGCCCATTCAACTATTTCAATTACCTTATAAAGTACACAGAAGTTGGTAATTTGGCCAATTTTACACAAATTTAAAAAAATACCATTTTAAAAATAGAGTACAAAATAAGCAATATTGACACTTCTGGCACTAAAATAACTTTTCCTCTATTCATTAATCACATCTCTCCTATATTATACAGTGGACCCCCGGTTTACGATATTATTTCATTCCAGAAGTATGTTCAGGTGCCAGTACTGACCGAATTTGTTCCCATAAGGAATATTGTGAAGTAGATTAGTCCATTTTAGACCCCCAAACATACATATACAAACGCACTTACATAATTGGTCGTATTGGGAGGTGATCGTAAACAGGGTGTCCACCGTACTTGCTTTCCACGCTGAATTCATGGTCACAAAAATAGATCTGCTCTGTTTCTCTGATAATAAAATATAACCAGGAATGATTGGTTATGGTGCCCCAATAATTAAATCAGACTTATTAAAAACCTATAAAACAGACTAGTGGTGTAGTGGATCCATCCTTATTAAAATCAGCAAAAAAAACAAATATTACTGCTACTTTGAGCTTAATTTGAGGTTACTTCTGGTCCTGAAATCAACCGGAATAATCTCTTTTCAGTTGTTATTTCAGAAGTATGTCTTCCGTTCTATCAAATGATGAAGAAACAACCAATAAAACCATAAAAACCATCCGAGAAAACACCGTAAAGTCACTATTGTGAACCACACACACACAGAGTTTTGTTTTTCACATCATGCAGTGTGTGGGGCAGGATTTTTTATATTATATTAACATTGGTAGAATTAATGACAATATGTTAGTTATAAGGACACAAGTGCAACTAATGTGTCATTTTATTGTGGCAACGTTTCGCTCTCCAGGAGCTTCGTCAACCTCCTGGAGAGCGAAACATTGCCACTATAAAATGTCACATTAGTTGCACTTTTTACCTAACATTAAACACACTTACCGCAAAGACCCATTTTCTCATATCTAGGCCAAAATTTGCCATTCACAGGTCATCTGAGTGAGCTGAGCTTATCATGCAGACCTACGTGAAAGACCCTGAGCTCAATGATGTACAGTGCAACCTCGGCACTCGAGCTTAATTCATTCCAGAAGGCTGTTTGAGTGCCGATCTGTTCAAGTATAGAACGAATTTTTCTCTATCAATTTTCTTTTTGGTTTGCTGTTAACACTAACCTTCTTAGGCCCGATGGTGACGTACAAATAATGAAAAAAAAATAAATGTGAAGAAACATGATATACCTAGTTTACAGCAAAGTTCTGGCAGGTTGTGTTTGTTTGGTCAAGTGCCAAGCAAATGGTCGACTACCGAGCAATTTGTTTACCGAAAAAAGCATTCGAACACCAAATTTTTTGATCACAGAGCTGTTCAAGTACCGAGGTTCCACTGTAGTCCTACGGACAGTGAAAGGGTTAAGCAGATACAAAGGTAAGCCTCTGACTGTAGAAAAAAACACAGGTACAGAACAAACTGTTATTGTGACAATGTTTTGCTCTTGTCTGGAGTTTTACACAAAGAAATATAGTTGCAATAAAATCTTGCACTATCCATGCAACAATATAACTATCCATGCAACAATATAACTGAATGCAACTGACAACATACAATTTAAAGAGGAAACCTCAGGTAACATTACAATCGCTCCCAAACCATTATCAAATCACAACTAATGTGGATCCACGACAAACTGACGCACAATCTAAAGTCCCCATGGTATTGCAACGTTTTTCTCCCTAACTGAATAGAATTCATAATTAATAGTGAGTATATGAGCATTTTATTTACAAAATAAGAGATCAGGTAGAGCTTTGGAAAACAAGATGAATATAAAACCAGAAGTAGAGAGGTTCATGATTAATCTGGATGAGCATATGGTTCATAAATCGTCATCCCGTCTCAGGGCACCAACTGCTATTGTCCTCTATGAGAATGTCACCGTATCTGTATAAAAAAGAACTGTAAGTCTAAAGTATTCGTTTAAATTTCTCAACAATTTATTAAAAAGATTATTATTAGGACAAACGTAATTTATTCATAACAATTAGCACGCTTATAGATAGTAGGTTGGTAGACAACAACTACCCAGGGAGGTACAGTGGACCCCCGCTTTACGATCACCTCCCAATGCAACCAATTATGTAAGTGTATTTATGTAAGTGCGTTTGTACATGTATGTTTGGGGGTCTGAAATGGACTATTCTAATTCACAATATTCCTTATGTGAACAAATTCGGTCAGTACTGGCACCTGAACATACTTCTGGAATGAAATAATATCGTAAACCGGGGGTCCACTGTACTACCCTTTTGCCAGGTGAGTGTGAAATGGAAACCTGTAATTGTTTTACATGATGTTAGGATTGCTGGTGTCTTTTTTTTGTCATAAATATGTGGGATACCAGGTATATCTTGCTACTTCTACTTACACTTAGGTCACACTACACATGCATGTACAAGCATATATATATATACAGTGGACCCCCACATAACGATTACCTCCGAATGTGACCAATTATGTAAGTGTATTTATGTAAGTGCGTTTGTACGTGTATGTTTGGGGGTCTGAAATGGACTAATCTACTTCACAATATTTCTTATGGGAACAAATTCGGTCAGTACTGGCACCTGAACATACTTCTGGAGTGAAAAAATATCGTTAACCGGGGGTCCACTGTATTTCTTTTTTCAACAAACCAGCCTTATCCCACCAAGGCAGGGAGGCCCCCCCAAAAAAAACGAAAGTTTCTCTTTTTAAATTTAGTAATTTATACAAGAGAAGGGGTTCCTAGCCCCTTGCCCCCAGCATTTTAGTCGCCTCTTACAACACGCATGGCTTACGGAGGAAGAACTCTGCTCCACTTCCCCATGGAGATAAGAGAAAATAAACAAGAACAAGAACTAGAAAGAAAATAGAAGAAAACCCAGAGGGGTGTGTATATACAGTGGACCCCTGACATTTGATGGCATCGACATTCGATAAATCCGACATTCGATGTATCTTAACGCAAAAATTTCACCTCGACATTCGATCGAAAACCCGCTATTCGATACGATTCGTACAAGACGTGCCCACGTGTGGCCTGAACTGCCCCGTGTGTGCCAGTGTTTACAAGCCAGCCAGTGTACGCGCATCTAAGGATACATTCGGTACATTCCATATTATCCATATTATCACTGTTTTTGGTGCATGTTTCTGCAAAATAAGTAACCATGGGCCCCAAGAAAGCTTCTAGTGCCAACCCTTCGAAAAAAAAGGTGCTAATGACTATTGAAATGAAGAAAGAGATAATTGCAAAGTACGAAAGTGGAGTGCGTGTGTCGGAGCTGGTCAGGTTGTATAGTAAACTCCAATCAACCATCTCTACTATAGTGAGCAGGAAAATGGCAATCAAGGAAGCTGTTGTTGCAAAAGGTGCAACTTTGTTTTCGAAACAGAGATCGCTAGTGTTAGAAGATGTTGAGAGACTGTTATTGGTGTGGATAAATGAAAAACAGATAGCAGGAGAAAGCATCTCTCAAGCAATCATTTGTGAACAGGCTAGGGATTTGCATGATGATTTGGTAAAGAAATTGCCTGCAACTAGTGGTGATGTGAGTGAATTTAAGGCCAGCAAAGGCTGGTTTAAAAGATTTAAGAATCGTAGTGGCATACACAGTGTGGTAAGGCATGGTGAGGCTACCAATTTGGACCACAAAGCAGCTGAAAAATATGTGCATGAATTCAAGGAGTACATAGAGGCTGAAGGATTGAAACCTGAACAAGTGTTTAATTGTGATGAAACAGGCCTGTTTTGGAAGAAATTGCCAAGCAGGACCTACATTACTCAGAAGCAAATGGCACTCCCAGGACATAAGCCTATGAAAGACAGGCTTACTCTGTTAATGTGTGCCAATGCTAGTGGTGATTGCAAAGTGAAGCCTTTATTAGTGTATCACTCTGAAACTCCCAGAGCGTTCAGGCAAAAGAATATCCTCAAGGCTAATTTGTGTGTGCTGTGGAGGGCAAACAGTAAGGTATGGGTCACTAGGGACTTTTTCTATGACTGGTTACACCAAGCATTTGCCCCCACTGTGAAAAATTACCTAACTGAAAAGAAATTAGACCTTAAGTGCCTCCTGGGTATTAGGCAATGCCCCTGGTCATCCTACAGACTTAGCAGAGTGACTTTCTGGGGACATGAGCTTCATTAAGGTCAAATTTTTGCCTCCTAATACCACTCCTCTCCTGCAGCCCATGGACCAGCAGGTCATTTCCAACTTCAAGAAACTGTACACAAAAGCTATGTTTCAAAAGTGCTTTGAAGTGACCACAGAAACTCAACTGACTCTAAAAGAGTTTTGGAAGGATCACTTTAATATCCTCAATTGTATAAACCTTATAGGTAAGGCTTGGGAGGGAGTGACTAAGAGGACCTTGAACTCTGCTTGGAAAAAACTGTGGCCAGAATGTGTAGACAAAAGGGATTTTGAAGGGTTTGAGGCTAACCCTGAGAATCCTATGCCAGTTGAGGAATCCATTGTTGCATTGGGGAAGTCCTTGGGGTTGGAGGTTAGTGGGGAGGATGTGGAGGAGTTGGTGGAGGAGGACAGTGAAGAACTAACCACTGATGAGCTGCTAGATCATCTTCAACAGCAAGAGGCCAGACCTGAGGAAACTGCTTCAGAGGAGGGGAGAGAGAAATTGAAGAAGTTGTCTACTTCAAAGATTAAGGAAATGTGTGCAAAGTGGCTTGAAGTGTAAACCTTTATGGATGAAAATCACCCTGACACAGCTACTGCAAGCCGTGCTGGTGATTATTACACTGACAATGTTGTGAAACACTTTAGGGAAGTCATAAAGGAACGAGAGGTACAGGCCTCTATGGACAGATATGTTGTGCAACAGAGGTCCAGTGACTCTCAAGCTGGTCCTAGTGGCATTAAAAGAAGAAGGGAAGTAACCCGGGAAAAGGACTTGACACCTCAAGTCCTAATGGAAGGGGATTCCCCTTCTAAACACTAACACCATCCACACTCTCCCCTCCTCCCATCCCATCAATCATCACCAGATCTTCATTAAAGGTAAGTGCCAATTATTCTATTGTTATTAATCTATTGTTATTGTTGTTATTGTAATTATTCTATTGCATTAAACATAATATTTCATGTGGTAAATTTTTTTTTTCATACTTTTGGGTGTCCTGCTCGGATTAATTTGATTTCCATTATTTCTTATGGGGAAAATTAATTCGACTTTCGATATTTTCGACATTCGATGAGCTCTCAGGAACGGATTAATATCGAATGTCGGGGGTCCACTGTATATGCTTGTACATGTATGTGTAGTGTGACCTAAGTGTAAGTAGAAGTAGCAAGACGTACCTGAAATCTTGCATGTTTATGAGACAGAAAAAAGACACCAGCAATCCTACCATTATGTAAAACAATTACAGGTTTCCATTTTACACTCACTTGGCAAGACGGTAGTACCTCCTTGAGCGGTTGCTGTCTACCAACATACTACCTACAACAAGCATGTAGTATATATATATGTAAACACCCATATGCCAGGAGCAAGGGGCTGGTAACCCCTTCTCCTGTATAAATTACTAAATTTAAAAAGAGAAACTTTTGTTTTTCTTTTTGGGCCACCCTGCCTTGGTGGGATACGGCCGGTTTGTTGAAAGAAAAAAAAAAACCCATCTGGGTTTTCTTCTATTTTCTTACTAGTTCTTGTTCTTGTTTATTTCCTGTTATCTCCCGTTATCTGTTATCTCCTGTTGTCTCCCGAGTTTGACGTTGATTCAACTTATGCCAATTCACTATTATGCATTGTCCTGTGTATTTGATTTACCTATAACCTATTTTTTTCTCAACAAACCAGTTGTAACCCACCGAGGCAGGGCGCCCAAAAAAGATTTTATTTTGAAGTCACCTGCCAATCCTGATTGGCTAAGTTTTTGAGAAAAAATACTTTCTTAAAACAAGTTAAAAATTTGCTAAATTTACATGAAACAGCATTAAAATGTGCTAAATTTACACAAAACAAGCTAAAATGTGCTAAATGTACAAGAAACATTGCTAGAACATGCTAAATTTATGCAAAACTGCACTAAAATGTACTAACACTATTAGTTACAAAGATAACACATTATGCATTATTCTCACTCTCTAGCACACAGGAGATTATTCTAGACCTGCTAAATCCCAATCAACTATTTCTTCCTCACCTTGTGTAACCATTTCTTGTTGTGAGTGGTTGTGTTCTCTGTCTACTCACCGTCTCAGTGCGTCAGAGTGTATTTGTTTATAGCTACAACTGCACGTTGATTTATTATGGTTTTTCATGAATTTAAAAAATATTTCATGTTTATGTTTTTAACCCGTAAACGGTCCAGGCAGATCTACGTTCACATGTGTAGTGCTCCAAAAGTAGATCTACGTTTTTCTTACATATTTTCAAATATAAAAAAAAAGTAGATCAACGTTTTTTTACACATTTTCATATGTAAACAAAAAAAAAGATCTACTTTTTTTACATACTTTCAAATGTTGAAAAAACGTATATATACGTTTGGACAGTTTACAGGTTAAACCTTTCAGGGTCCAGAGGCCAAATTTCAAAGTGCGCACCAGGGTCCAAGAATTTTCAAAAAATAATTTTGTTATTTTTTCTAATGAAATGGTAGAGAATCTTTTTCTGAAGGTAATAAAACAAAAAGTACGAAATTTGATAGAAAATTGACAAAATTATGCTCTCGCAAATTTTGATGTGTCAGCGATATTTATGCATCGGCGGTTATGCCGACTTTGACTCCCATTTTAGGCCAATTACCTTATTCCAGTTGACCAAATTTTTAGCTATTTCACTAATATTACTTCTATTCTATCGATTGAGCACAAGAAATTGCCAATTCAGCTGTTTCAACTACAAAATAAAGTGACCGGAAATTGGTAATTTTGCCAATTTAATGCAAAGTTCAAAATATTCCAATTTCAAAATAGGGTCCAGAATAAACAATGCAGACATTCCTGGCACTAAACTAACATTTCCTCTGTTCATAAGTTATGTTTTCAGACTTTACAAATGAATTCCATTTTGATTTTTTATTCACATAATGAATTTTTATTCAAACCAAAAAATAGAAGATTTACTGTCATGCAATATTGTAATAATTGTATAAATAATATCAGCACATTTTTTTTTTTTTTTTTCAACAAGTCGGTCGTCTCCCACCGAGGCAGGGTGACCCCAAAAAAAAGAAAGAAAATCCCCAAAAAGAAAATACTTTCATCATCATTCAACACTTTCACCACACTCACACATTATCACTGCTTTTGCAGAGGTGCTCAGAATACAACAGTTTAGAAGCATATACGTATAGAGATACACAACATATCCCTCCAAACTGCCAATATCCCAAACCCCTCCTTTAAAGTGCAGGCATTGTACTTCCCATTTCCAGGACTCAAGTCCGACTATATGAAAATAACCGGTTTCCCTGAATCCCTTCACTAAATATTACCCTGCTCACACTCCAACAGATCGTCAGGTCCCAAGTATCATTCGTCTCCATTCACTCCTATCTAACACGCTCATGCACGCTTGCTGAACATATTTGTGAACATATATTAGACCCACCAGCTGGTGTGTATTAGACATGTCAGTTCATTTGTTTACAATTGGACATTGACAAAAATTTAACATTTCCGCTACTTTGAGCTCAGTTTCAAGCCATTTCCAGTGCTAAAACCAATCAAAATCATCTCTATTTCTGTAATATATCTTCCATTCTATCAAATGAGACCAAGAAATTGCAAATACAACTATAAAAAACATATGAAAAAACACTGCAAAGTCGCTGTTTTAATCCAAAATTACGGTCTCATTTTTTCTCTCATTATGCAGTGTGTGCTGCAGGATTTTGTTTTATGTGGTGCACACATACCACATAGATGTATTCTCTCATATCTAGACCCAAATTTACCACTCACAGCTTATCAGAGTGAGCTGAGCTCATGGCGTAGATCTACGGTTTGGACCCTCAATGTAAAGCCGTAGATCTACGGCACGGACCCTGAAAGGGTTAAGCGTATTGATTCTACTATTTAATAAGTATAGGATTTACTTTTTTTTTCTTTTTAGTAGGCCATACAGGAAAAGGGGTTTAATAACCTAGATGATGGAGGGTCGAATCCCGTCCCGTTCCTCTCACCTAGCGCTGACCAGTGAGTGAGGTGAAACTGTTGAATGGTGATGAAAGTATTTTCATTTTGGGGATTTTCTTTCTTTTTGGGTCACCCTGCTTAGGTGGGAGATGCCCAGCTTGTTGAAAAAAAAAAAAAAACATTTACTACAATGCAGGCAATTGCATTATTGTAATAGTAATTGTATAAATAATGTCAGTGCAGTGGTGAGCACATATTAGACTGGCCAATTGGACACATTAGACATGTGATGTAATTACTGTCCTTTGGAATACTGACAAGTCAAATATTTCTGCTACTTCGAAATTAATTTCAAGCTACTTCCAGTCCCCAAACTAATCAAATTTCTGTAAGATATCTTCCTTTCTATCAAATGAAACCAAGAAACTGAGAATAAAACTGGCATTTTAGTTGCTTCCTGGAAGAAACTAAAATGCCGGAGTGTGAGCAAGGTAACATTTATGAAGGGATTCAATGAAACTGCTTAGCTGGACTTGAGTCCTGGAGGTGGGAATTACAGTGTCTGCACTCTGAAGGAGGGGTGTTAATGTTGCAGTTTTATAACTGTAGTGTAAGCACACCTTTAGCAAGACAGTGATGGAGTGAATGATGATGAAAGTGTTTCTTCTTTTTCAGGTTACCTTACCTTGATGGGAAACGACCAATGTACATGCGCTAATAAAAAGAAATTTCACTTATGGGTTTGCTGGAATGCAACCTCATTGTAAGTTGAGAATCACTTTTATACCGTTTAGTTTGTATGATAAATGATGGTTAGTATTGAGTACAGCAAATATACATACAAGAATACAATCGTTGAACCTCATTGGTCATCAGGTGTTGGATTAGTTAAGGCTGTTAGTCGTTGAAATCGTTTGATGATTGTTCCGTTCTCCTCTAGAAGCTTCATCACTTCCTCTTGTGCCTCACACATCTCATGCAAACTATACATTATGAAACAATATAAAATATTAGTGTACAAGTTTATGCAAAATTACTAAATTTAAAAAGGAAAACTTTAGTTTTTCTTTTTGAGTCACCCTTAAAAAAAAAAATTTCTTATATTATTAGAAAAAACATATAAAGTGTACAATAAAATCTATGAGATTTAGTATTCTAACAGTAAAATAATGGATTTTTAGTCAAAATATTTTAATATTACCTAGGTAGTAGGTTGGTAGACAGCAACCGCTCAGGGAGGTACTACCGTCCTGCCAAGTGAGTGTAAAACTGAAGCCTGTAATTGTTTTACATGATGGTAGGATTGCTGGTGTCTTTTTTTTTTTCTGTCTCATAAACATGCAAAATTTCAGGTACGCCTTGCTACTTCTACTTACACTTAGGTCACACTACACATACATGTACAAGCATATATATACACACCCCTTTGGGTTTTCTTCTATTTTCTTTCTAGTTCTTGTTCTTGTTTATTTCCTCTTACCTCCATGGGGAAGTGGAACAGAATTCTTCCTCCGTAAGCCATGCGTGTTGTAAGGGGCAACTAAAATGCCAGGAGCAAGGGGCTAGTAACCCCTTCTCTTGTATAAATTACTAAATTTAAAAAGAGAAACTTTTGTTTTTCTTTTCGGGCCACCCTGCCTTGGTGGGATACGGCCGGTTTGTTGAAAGAAGAAAGAAAAATATTTTAATATTAGTGTTAAGTAGGAAACAGTCCTAAATAACATCATTTTCAATTTAATTCTGCTACATCAGTTGCTGTCCAACAAGGCAGAGTGACCGGGATAATAAAACACTACCAATTTCCAAATTTTGTAAAAATATTGCCACAAACTGCCAGCTAAATGTTAATTCCTATATATGTATGTAACTATGTTAAGCACAATATATATATATAGGTAACTATGTTAAGTCCTATATGTATGTAACTATGTTAAGCCCTATATGTACATATCTATGTTAAGTCCTATATGTATGTAACTATGTTAAACCCTATATGTAACTATGTTAAGCCCTATATGTACATATCTATGTTAAGTCCTATATGTATGTAACTATGTTGGTTTAGAAAGACACGTAAGCAAACACTATAACATATTTATTAGAAAACGTTTCGGTCCTGGGACCTTGATCACTTCTCAGCAGTGATCAAGGTCCCAGGACCGAAACGTTTTCTAATAAATATGTTATAGTGTTTGCTTACGTGTCTTTCTAAACCAACTTGTCGGTATTTATTACCAAGGTTTATACCATGTAACTATGTTAAACCCTATATGTAACTATGTTAAGCCTTATATGTACATATCTATGTTAAGTCCTATACGTATGTAACTATGTTAAACCCTATATGTAACTATGTTAAGCCCTATATGTACATATCTATGTTAAGTCCTATACGTATGTAACTATGTTAAACCCTATATGTAACTATGTTAAGCCCTATATGTACATATCTATGTTAAGTCCTTTCTTTCTTTCTTTCAACACACCGGTCATATCCCACCGAGGCGGGGTGGCCCAAAAGGAAAAACGAAAGTTTCTCCTTTTACATTTAGTAATATATACAGGAGAAGAGGTTACTAGCCCCTTGCTCCCGGCATTTTAGTTGCCTCTTACAACACGCATGGCTTACGGAGGAAGAATTCTGTTCCACTTCCCCATGGAGATGTTAAGTCCTATATGTATGTAACTATGTTAAACCCTATATGTAACTATGTTAAGCCCTATATATACATAACCATGTTAAGCCCTATATGTATGTAACTATGTTAAGTTCTATATATACATAACTATGCAGAACAACCATTGTGTAAAAATAGTGAAATTCCAAGTGCTTTCGTGACTTGATAGTTCCTTGATAATGTAAGAAGTCACGGAAGCATTTGGAATTTTATTATTTCCTCACAGTGGTTGTTGTGCATATTGTGATATCACCTGTTTACTGTGATCTTATTGCATCGTACATAAATATGTTAAGCCCTATATGTATGTATGGTAAGCCCTATATGTATGTATGGTATGCCCTATATGTACGTAACTATGTTAAGCCCCATATGTAAGGAACTCTTCCTCCTGTATAAATTACTGAGTATAAATAGTAGAAAATCTCCATGGGGAAGTGGAACAGAATTCTTCCTCCATAAGCCATGTGTGTTGTAAGAGGCGACTAAAATGCCGGGAGCAAGAGGCTAGTAACCCCTTCTCCCGTATAAATTACTAAATTTAAGAGAGACTTTCGTTTTTCATTTTGGGCCACCCTGCCTTGGTGGGATATGGCCGGTGTGTTGAAAGAAAGAAAGAAGAAAATAGTAGAAAACTCCACAGGAGAGTGGAACAGAATTCTTTCTCCATAAGCCATGCGTGTTGTAAGAGATGACTAAAATGCCGGGAGCAAGGCTAGGAACCTCTTCTCCTGTATACATTACTAAAGTTAAAAATAGTAACTTTTCTTTTTCTTTTTGGGCCACCCTGCCTTGGTGGGATATGGCCAGTTTGTTGAAAGAAGGAGAAGAAACAGTAGAAAAAACTTTCTGAAAGTATTTCTTCTTTTTCAGGTCATGCTGCCTTAATGGGAGATGCCCGGTGTGTTAAAAAAATAAATTACAGGAATAAGCCACATGCTATTAATGAGTGTTGTTGAAAACTGTATAAAATACCGTTTTTCACGTTGAAGTATCTGTGGAGACAAAAAATGTTATCCATGGAGGCAAAGAAGGGAATGTATGAAGTACAGTGGGTGTGAAACTTGGGTTGCAAATGCTGCAGCGAGGGGGTGGCTGGAGGCAGTGGAGATGTCCTGTCTGAGGGCAATGTGTGGTGCAAATATGCAGAGAATTCATAGTATGGAAATTAGGAGGTGTGGAATTATTAAAAGTATTAGTCAGAGGGCTGAAGAGGGGTTTTGGGGGTGGTCTGATCATTTAGAGAGAATGGATCAAAGTAGAATGACTTGGAGAGCGTATAAATCTGTAGGGGAAGGAAAGCGGGGTAGGGGTCGTCCTCGAAAAGGTTGGAGGGAGGGGATAAAGGAGGTTTTGTGGGCGAGGGGCTTGGACATCCACTAAGCATGTGTGAGTGTGTTAGATAGGAGTGAATGGAGATGAATGGTTTTTGGGACCTGACGAGCTGTTGGAGTGTGAGCAGGGTAATATTTAGTGAAGGGATTCAGGAAAACCTGTCAGGCAGACTTGAGCCCTGGACATGGGAGGTACAGTTCCTGCACTCTGCAAGAGTAGAGACAGTTGCAGCTTGGAGGAGTATTTGAACTGTAGTATCTGCACACCTCTGACAAAACAGTGATGAAGTAAATGATAGTGAAAGTGTCTTTTTTCAGGTCACCCTATATCTCAGTGAGGGACAGTCAGTGTTTTAAAAAAAATATTGCTCACAGTGAAATACTCACGTAAGCTTGACTTTAGCCTTATTAATGTCTTCTTTCTTGGACTTCTGACTATCCTTAGTATCACTGGACTTCTTCGATGTCTTTGCTCCCCCAGATTCCTGAATCTGGAAAACGAAGAATCACAACACTGCTGTAATAATAGAGAGTGGACACCTAATGCAAAAATTATTTTACAATTTACAAAAATTTTAATTTGTACTTTTTATCACACTGGCCGTCTCCCACTGAGGCAGGATGATCCGAAAAAGAAACGCTTTCACCATCATTTACTCCATCCCAGTCTTGCCTGAGGCATGTAGATACAGGTACTCCTCACTTAACAACCGTGTTCCATTCCTAAGAGTAGGTTGATAAGCGAATTGGTCGTTAAGTGAGAAGCATACTGTACTGGTAGTGGGTTTGTGTCAACCATCTTTAAATATTGTTTTAATGTCACCTTTCCACAATTTATAACATTTCTGGTATATTAAAAATAGAACTGGGCATCAAGGAAAGGAAACAACCAATATTTTCACCCCTTCACTGGGTATCAAACCCGGACCCTCACTGTGTGAGGTGAGAGCTTTTGCCACCAGGCCACAGGGCACCATGGGTTCAAACCATCACCTGTTCCCTGGTTTGGTTGTCATTTTGTGCAGTATTAAAGGAACTACAAAAAACTCATGCAAGTTTATACAACATAGTAAGAAAATAATACTGCAATATGCAATAGACTGAGTAATACCACAGTGCAATATGCAACAGAATAATACCATGACTAACAGCTAGAGAAGTCTGCATTAAATCCTTTAACTGGTAAATTAATAATTTAGCAATTTCTGCCCTGGAAATGTACCAAGAGAAAAAAAGATTCTTAGCATTGCTACATGGCCACCATTAAATACTAGGTGGCCACCAGTCAATACTACACGGTCAGCAGTCAATACTACATGGCTCACGAAATTGTAATGACACGTAATCCCCGCCCGTGGTATGGTTTACTACATGGCCACCAGTCAATATTATGTGGCCACCAGTCAATATTACATGGCCACCAGTCAATATTACATGGCCACCAGTAATATTATGTGGCCACCAGTCAACACTACCTGGTCATCAGTCAATATTACATGGCCACCAGTCAATATTATGTGGCCACCAGTCAACACTACCTGGTCATCAGTCAATATTACATGGCCACCAGTCAATATTATGTGGCCACCAGTCAACACTACCTGGTCATCAGTCAATATTACATGGCCACCAGTCAGTATTATTGGCCACCAGTCAATACTACATGGTTTTCTTTATTAAAACTGTAGAAGATTTAAGTGTTTAACACATAACCCTTTGAGGGTTTCGGCCATACTAGTACGGCTTACGCAACAGGGTTTTTGACGTACTAGCGCGCCTAAATTCTAACGCCCTCAAATCTAGTGGGAGAAAGCTGGTAGGCCTACATATGAAAGAATGGGTCTATGTGGTCAGTGTGCACAGTATAAAAAAAATCCTGCAGCACACAGTGAATAATGAGAAAAAAAAACTTTGACCGTTTTTTTGGAATAAAACAGCGACTTTGCACTGTATTTTCGTATGGTATTTATTGGTGTATTCTAGTTTTCTTGGTCTCATTTTATAGAATGGAAGACATATTACAGAAATTGAGATGATTTTGACTGGTTTTACAATGAAAAGTACCTTGAAATTGAGCTCAAAGTAGCAGAAATGTTCGATTTTTACCAAAGTTCAAAAGTAAACAAATCATGCCAAGCGTCCAATACACGTCAACTGGTGAGTCTAATATTCTTTTGCAAGTGCACCAATATTATTTATACCATTTTTTACACTAATGCAGTAGTCTGCATAACAGTAAATCTTCTATTTTTTGTGAGAATAAAAATTCAAAGTGGAAAGCAAAAGAATGTAAGAGGGGCCTTGAGACGTGACTAATGAACAAAGGAAATGTCATTTTAGTGCCAGGAATGTCTTTCTTGTTTCTTCAGGACCCTATTCGGAAATTGGCATCTTTTGAAATTTGTGTGAAATTGGCAAAATTGCTAAATTCTGACCACTGTACTGGATAGTTGAAATTGGTAAATGGGTGGTTTCTTGCACTCATTCGATAGAAAAAATGGAGTTCTAGCGAAATATTCATGTTTTTTGTCGACTAGTGCAGTGGAATTGGCCGAAAATGGGGCTCAAAGTGTGCAAAATCGCCGATGCGTAAACATCGCCGAGACCGCTAACTTCGCGAGAGCATAATTCCGTAAGTTTTCCATCAAATTTCATAATTTTGGTGTCATTATGATCGAGAAAAGATTCTCTATCTTTTCATAAGAAAAAATTATTTGTTTTTTTTAAATTTGGCCGACCCTGAGAACGAGTCTCGGAGAGGGCCTGTCGACCCTCAACAAGCATGACTTAAGTCATGCTTGTTGAAAGGGATGGCATTGTTTCTGTGGAGAAACTGACCAAGACACTGTCACTGTTGTTGAAAATGGTATAAAATACTGGAAACATATTGTTCCAGACCATGGAACTGAACTCTTCTCCAGGCTGAGGGACTGACCACTTTGTTCCAGACCATGAAGTTGAACTCTTCTCCAGGCTGAGGGACTGACCACCTTGTTCCAGACCATGGAGCTGAACTCTTCTCCAGGCTGAGGGACTGACCACCTTGTTCCAGACCATGGAGTCCAACTCTTCTCCAGGCTGAGGGACTGACCACCTTGTTCCAGACCATGGAGCTGAACTCTTCTCCAGGCTGAGGGACTGACCACCTTGTTCCAGACCATGGAGTCCAACTCTTCTCCAGGTTGAGGGACTGACCACCTTGTTCCAGACCATGGAGTCCAACTCTTCTCCAGGCTGAGGGACTGACCACCTTGTTCCAGACCATGGAGTCCAACTCTTCTCCAGGCTGAGGGACTGACCACCTTGTTCCAGACCATGAAGTTGAACTCTTCTCCAGGCTGAGGGACTGACCACCTTGTTCCAGACAATGGAGTCCAACTCTTCTCCAGGCTGAGGGACTGACCACCTCAAATACTTTTTCTCCAAGGTTGATGGACTGATTACATCATCTTTATTTAATCACTACTGCTGCCTCTGTATTTGACTGAAGAGGCCTACTGTGTAGGCAAAATATTTCACCAATAAAGATACCCAGCTGTTGCACGTGTGTCTTAATCGTGAATCAAGTGTTTCACAGGAAGCGATTAAGTCGTTATGTTTCAGGCTCATACAACACAACTGGGTAATTTACACATATGTTACTACGTATGATAATTTGTGCAACTATATTTTTGTATTTTTATTTTTAACACGTCGGCCATTCCCCACCGACGCAGGGTGACCCAAAAAGAAAGAAAAACCCAAGAAGAAAGAAAAAATCTTGTCGTCATTCAACACTTTCACCATCACTCATAAATAATCACTATTTCAGAGATTTACTTATACTTGTACTTTAATGCACTTACTTATGCCTTTGCTTTGATATATCCTTCTCTATCTTGGTATATATGACATTCTTAACTTAGAAATGAGTGGTGTTTCTGGCATTTTAATGTACAAACAAGCTGTTTATCAGATGCTTTTGGGAAAAACAAGGATTGAGTGAGTGATGGTGAATATGCTTCCTCTTTTTTCCACACCTTGCCTCTGAGGGAGACAACCAACGTGTTAAAAAAAATTGGTGTATATAAAACAACAGTGCAAAGGATGGTTATGTTTCACACATGTTTGATGTGCTGTTGGAGTGTGAGGAAGGTAACATTTTATGAAGGGATTCAGGGTTAGATGGACTTGAGTCCTGGAGGTGGGAGGTACACTGCCTGTACTCTGAAGGAGGGGTGGAGGTATGTTGCAGTGTTTGAACTGTAGTATATTCACACTTCTGGCAAGACAGTGATGGAGTGAATGACGATGAAAGTATTTTTTTTTTTTTCGGGTCACCCTGCCTTGGTGGGAAACAGCCGACATGTTAAAAAAAAAGTATTTGTACCATAATTCAGTATTTAAAAAACATTTAATTGTCCTACATTCCACGTGCGTAACTAGAGATGTGTATAATCTGAAGTATTTCAAACATTCAGGACTTCCTGTACAGGAGCTCCTCCACTTATCATGGTCTGATTTATAATATTTTGACTTTACGATGGTGCAAAAGCAGTTACTTTGGAGTGTGTGTGCAAGGATGGTATATAATACCGACAAGATGAAATTAAGACACATGTGCAACATCTGGGTATCATCTTCTGTTGGTATAAACCTTGGTAATAAATACCGACAAGTTGGTTTAGAAAGACACATAAGCAAACACTATAACATATTTATTAGAAAACATTTCGGTCCTGGGACCTTGATCACTGGATCACCTTGATCAAGGTCCCAGGACCGAAACGTTTTCTAATAAATATGTTATAGTGTTTGCTTACGTGTCTTTCTATATCATCTTCTGTATATAGTCCTACTGTCTTCAAGTTATGTCCTAGAATCTGTATTGATAAAGCCACTGGATGGCGAAACGTCTACAATAAAGATACCCAGATGTTGCACATGTGTCTTAATCTCATTTTGTCGGTATTGTATACCATTCGTACACAACTTGTCAGACACTGCAACATCATGGAATCTTAATTCTGAGGACATGTACATATCCTTCACGACTACGACAACTACTACTACAACTAACCCATCTCTTTGGGAAGGACCTACTTCCACTGGGGAATCCCGCCTACCAGTGAATATGCCCTCGTCTGCTACACCTGACGTTACTATATAAGCGCCAGGATCCTTTCTTCTGCTTCAGAATCTCCACGACTATGGTGCTCTTCGCACCTACTCCTAGGTTGAGGGACTGATTCCCTCATCTTCTGTACATAGTTCTACTGTCTTCAAGTTATGTCCAAGAATCTGTATTGATAAAGCCACTGGATGGCGAAACGTCTACAATAAAGATACCCAGATGTTGCACATGTGTCTTAATTTCATCAATTACCTTGGAGATGAAACTTAAAATAATTACCCAACATGAAGATGACAAGTCCATAACTTTTATTCATTTACTAACTTTTCAATACTGGTATTTAGTTACAGTAATTATTTGTTTATTTATTCAGCGACAATAATTTCTTTACTTATTTTTTATATCATATTCAACTTCTCATGAAAATGCAAGATTTCAGGTATGTCTTGCTACTTCTACTTACACTTAGGTCACACTACACATACATGTACAAGCATATATATACACATCCCTCTGGGTTTTCTTCTATTTTCTTACTAGTTTTTATTCTTCTTTATTTCCTCTTATCTCCATGGGGAAGTGGAACAGAATTCTTCCTCCGTAAGCCATGCGAGTTGTAAGAGGCGACTAAAGTGCCGGGATCAAGGGGCTAGTAACCCCTTCTCCTGTATAGATAACTAAATTTAAAAAAAGAAACTTTTGTTTTTCTTTTTGGGCCACCCTGCCTTGGTGGGATACGGCCAGTTTGTTGAAAGAAAGAAGAAAGAATATTCGACTTGTGACATTTTCAACTTACGCTGGGTTCGCTAGAACATAACCCCATCGTAAATCAAGGGGCACCTGTACTGCAAAACGCTGTTATCTTTCACGCATATTCATGTTATGACTCAGTAGATTAATGTGTAACTACAGATGTGTATAACTTGAGGTATTTCAACCTTCGAGGGTTTCCTGTACTGTTAAATGAATAATCAAATATTACCTCTGTCTGGAGTCTAGCATCGTCCTGAAGTTTGCGGTCTTTAATGGCTGCCAGAAGTTCAGATAGTGTGTGATGATAGCTGTCTTCAGTGTCACTCAAAGTTGCTTGGAAAGAAGAAAGGATTACCTCGTGTTTCTCAACATCTGCCTTTTCAATTTCTGTCTGGACACGTTGGACTTTTGCGACTCTGAAAGACGTCAAGAAAATATTAGTCTAAAACAATTGAAAAAAGTGAACGCAAATTAGTTCAAGACAGTAATAAATCAATCTGTGTCTCAGTCAATGGTATCTTTGTTCCATGGTAGTACTAATGACATGCATGTCACAATTATTCAAAGAAGAACATATGCAGTAGGACCCCCGTATCCACAGGGAATGTGTTTCAAAGACCTGCCATGGATACTGAAACAGTGGATAGTAGTGAACCCTATATGTAAGTCTTATACATACCTATTATAAAGTTTAATTGCTAAATTATGCAAAATAAGTGGAGAATTATCACTTTTCTTTGATGGGAAGCACTTTACAGCTTCTCTTATGCTTTGAAGAACTGCCAGCTTCTCTACTTTCATGTTTTGGGTCCATTATTATTATGCAAAATTAAGAGGTATTTTTGGGCCACAGTAAACCGTGGATAACTGAAACTGCGGATACCGAATCCGTGGATACGGGGGTTTTGCTGTATTTAACAAAACAATTATACTCCATAGGGAAGTGGAGAAGAATTCTTCCTCCATAAACCATGTGTCGTAAGAGGTGACTAAAATATCGGGAGCAAGGTGCTAGTAACCCCTTCTCCTGTATAAATTATTAAATGTAAAAAAAGGAAAAACTTTATAAAAAAAATTTTTTTTTTTGGGTCACTCTGCTTTGGTGGGAAATGGCCGGTGGGAGAAGGCCACACAGACCAACTGACATTAGTACAAATCCCATAGATTTTGAAAAAGAAATGGAAAACATGCCCACTCACTCAGCACCTGGACCAGATTCATGGAATGCTCTATTTATAAAGAAGTGCAAAGTACCACTAGCACGAGCCCTCAGTAAGATTAGGGACAAGATTGGCTCACTTAAGAGTAACTCTGGTCAGATCACTGACAGTGATAAGGATATGTGTGAAATTCTCAATACCTACTTCCCCTCAGTTTTCACCCAGGAAAATACAGTGGACCCCCGCATAACGATTACCTCCGAATGTGACCAATTATGTAAGTGTATTTATGTAAGTGCGTTTGTACGTGTATGTTTGGGGGTCTGAAATGGACTAATCTACTTCACAATATTTCTTATGGGAACAAATTCGGTCAGTACTGGCACTTGAACATACTTCTGGAGTGAAAAAATATCGTTAACCGGGGGTCCACTGTACTAGCGATATTCCTGAAATAACAGATTACATAGAACAGGACGATAATAAACTATGCACGATTGCGGTAACTAGTGACATGGTCCTCAGACAAATAGAGAAACTAAAACCTAACAAATCCCCAGGCCCTGATGAACTGTTTGCAAGGGTGTTAAAGGAATGTAAAGAGGAACTTAGCATACCTTTGGCTAATCTTTTTAACATATCACTACAAACTGTCATAGTGCCTGATAAGTGGAAAATGGCAAATGTAATACCTTTTTACAAGGCAGGTGACAGGTCCTTGGCTTCGAACTATAGACCAATAAGCCTTACCTCCATAGTGGGAAAATTTATGGAATCAATAACTGCCAAAGCAATTCGTAGCCGACTTGATAGGCACATAATGATTAATGAATCTCAACACAGTTTTACAAAGGAGCGTTCCTGTCTTACGAATTTACTAACTTTTTTCACTAAAGTGTTTGAGGAGGTAGATCATGATAATGAATATGATATTGTGTATATGGACTTCAGTAAGGCTTTCGATAGAGTTCCACATCAGAGGCTATTGAGAAAACTTAAGGCACACGGAATAGGAAAAATTTTTTCAAGGGTAGAGGCATGGCTGACAAATAGGCAGCACAGAGTTTGCATAAATGGGGAGAAACAGAATGGGGGCACATCACAAGCAGTGTTCCTCAGGGGTCAGTGTTGGGCCCGTTGTTGTTCATAATTTACATAAACGACATAGATGAGGGAATAAATAGCAACATAAGCAAATTTGCTGATGACACCAAAATAGGCCGTCGAACTCATTCTAATGAGGACACTAGAGCACTCCAGGATGATTTGAAGACTGATGCAATGGTCGGAGAAGTGGCAGATGCAGTTTAATATAGACAAATGCAAAGTTCTAAATGTTGGACAGGACAATAACCATGACACATATAAACTAAATAACGTAGATCTTAATACTACTGATTGTGAAAAGGATTTAGGAGTTCTGGTTAGCAGTAATTTAAAACCAAGACAACAGTGCATTAGTGTTCGCAATAAGCTAACAGAATTCTTGGCTTATAATCTATGAAGTTATAAATAAAAGAAGTCCTCAGGTTGTTCTTCAACTCTATATATCCTTGGTTAGTCCTCATCTAGATTATGCTGCACAGTTTTGGTCACCGTATTACAGAATGGATATAAATGCTCTGGAAAATGTACAAAGGAGGATGACAAACTTGATCCATGTATCAGAAAATCTTTCCACTATGAGGATAGACTGAGGCCTGAATCTGCACTCTCTCGAAAGGCGCTAGAATTGGGGGGATTGATCGAGGTGTATAAATGGAAGGACAGGAATAATAAAGGGGTGTAAATAGCGTGCTGAAATTTCCAGCCAAGACAGGACTCGCAGCAATGGTTTCAGTTGGAAAATTCAGATTCAGGTAGGATATAGGAAAGCACTGTTTGGTAAATAGAGTTGTGGATGAGTGGAACAAACTCCCCGAGTACAGTTATTCAGGCTAAAACATTGTGTAGTTTTAAAAATAGATTAGATAAATACATGAGTGAGTGTGAGTTGGACCTGACTAGCTTGTGCTGTTGGGTCTGGTGCCATGCTCCTTCCTTGAGTGGAGGTGACCAGACTGGGTGGGTCATTGGGCTAATCCAGGGGGGGGGGGGGTGTACCTGCTCCGCATGGGTCAGTAGGCCTGCTGCAGTGTTCCTTCTTTCTATGTTCTTATGTTCTTTGGAGAAAGCTTAGATCTAGGTGAAATACCAGAGGCATTAAAGAGTGAAGACATAGCTCCTTTGCACAAGGGATGTAGTAGAGCACTAGCTAAAAATTACAACAGTAGCCCTAACCTCTCACATCATAAAAATCTTCGAAAGAGTGATGAGACAGCAGGTTACAAATTTCATGGACCAGCACAACCAACATAACCCGAACCAGCATGGTTTTAGAGCAGGACGATCATGTCTGTCACAGCTGCTGAACCATTATGACAGAATTACAGAGGCACTGGAAGACGACCAAAATGCAGATGTGATTTACACAGATTTTGCAAAGGCGTTTGACAAATGTGATCATGGAGTGACAGTGCACGAAATGAAGGCCATGGGCATTACGGGTAAGGTAGGCAGACGGATTTTCGGTTTCCTAACACACAGAACACAAAAAGTAGCATTGAACAGGGCAAGATCCAGCATTAGCGAGGTCAAAAGCTCAGTGCCCCAAGGCACTGTCCTGGCACCTCTGCTGTTCCTCATCCTCATAGCAGACACAGACAAAAAACCCAGCACACTTCTGTATCAGCATTTGCAGATGACACTAAAATAAGCATGAAAGTCAGTACGGTAGAGGACACTGAAAAAGTACAGGAAGACATAAACAGGGTTTTCCAGTGGGCAGTGGAGAACAACATGACGTTCAATGGTGATAAGTTCCAGCTGCTTAGGTATGGAAAGAATGAACTCAAAAGGAGCACTATATACAAAACTCAAGAGGGTCACCAAATAGAACGTAAGGAACACGTAAAAGACCTGGGAATAATTATGTCAGTGGACCTTTCTTTTAAAGACCATAACAAGACAAAGATCACGACAGCCAGGAAGATGGCAGGGTGGGTATTGAGAACTTTCAAAACAAGGGAAATAATGCCGATGGTGACACTCTTCAAATCACTAGTGCTCCCTCACTTAAAATATTGCTCAGTGCTGATGGCCCTGTTCAAGGCAGGAGAAATATCGGAGCTGGAACAAACACAGAGATCATTTACGGCTCACATTGAGCCAGTAAAGCACCTAAACTACTGGGAATGCCTGCAAATCTTGAACATGTACTTATTGGAGGGGAGGAGAGAGAGGTACATGATAATATATACCTGGAAGGTACTCGAGGGCTTGGTCCCAAATCTGCACACTGCCATAACAACATACTGGAGTGAGAGATATGGGAGGAAGTATAAAATAAACCCAGTGAGGAGCAGGGGTGCAGTGGGGACAATAAGGGAACACTGTATCAACATCCGGGGTCCCAGACTTTTCAACATCTTACCAGAAGATATCAGAAACACTGCTGGAACAAGTATAGAAGCCTTCAAGAGAAAACTGGACAAGTATCTTCACCAGGTGCCAGATCAACCAGGCTGTGATGGATATGTGGGGCAGCAGGCCTCCAGCAGCAACAGCCTGGTTGACCAGGCAAGCACCAGACGAGCCTGGCCCATAGCCGGGCTCAGAGAGTAGATAAATTCTCGAAACTCTTCAAAGGTAAGGTATGTTGGAAAAAAATTATGCAATTTCCTTGAAAATATTTTTTGGGGAATCCCAAACACTTAGAAAACAGATAATTTCTCAAAGAGCAATATAATGTCTTCAGAAATGGAAAGCCATGCTAAATACACCATTCAAAAACTCATGACAGGTTTGATGTACAGATCTAACGGAAAGAGACATGGATATAAAAACGCAATACGATCAGCTCCCAATGCGACCAATTATATAAGTGTATTTATGTAAGTGCGTTTGTATGTGTATGTTTGGGGGTCTGAAATGGACTGATCTAATTCACAATATTCCTTATGGGAACAAATTCGGTCAGTACTGGCACCTGAACATACTTCTGGAATGAAATAATATCGTAAACCGGGGGTCCACTGTATATAAAACATGCAATGTAAATGATTAAGAAAACCGACAAGCTGAAGAATAAGACACCTGGGCAACACTTAGGAATCTTTACTGAGGAAATGCTTCACCAGCCAGTGTCTTCTTCAGTCATAAGAACAGTGGAAGATGTAGAAAAGTTTGAGGTAATCATTGTTATGTTTTATGGAGTCAAACATACATACATGTATACTTTTCTAATATAAATATCGCCTTAAAGCAAATCACAGCTTTTTTTTTCACTTGCCATTGAATATCAAAGCCTAAAAACATGTTTATGGTATTAAGTGGGCAATAGCACTAGGCCTAAAAAAGATGCAAAAGCAAAAACAATAAAAAAAATGGAGCCAGTCAGCTGATGTGCACATCACCGTCAAAAATAATAACCTGCTGTATAAGCAGGGCCCTCCTGTACAGCAGTAGCCTGGGACCTAACCTGCTGTATAAGCAGGGCTCTCCTGTACAGCAGTAGCCAGGAACCTAACCTGCTGTATAAGCAGGGCTCTCCTGTACAGCAGTAGCCAGGAACCTAACCTGCTGTATAAGCAGGGCCCTCCTGTACAGCAGTAGCCAGGAACCTAACCTGCTGTATAAGCAGGGCTCTCCTGTAAGCAGTAGCCTGGGACCTAACCTGCTGTATAAGCAGGGCTCTCCTGTACAGCAGTAGCCAGGAACCTAACCTGCTGTATAAGCAGGGCTCTCCTGTACAGCAGTAGCCTGGGACCTAACCTGCTGTATAAGCAGGGCTCTCCTGTACAGCAGTAGCCTGGGTCCTAACCTGCTGTATAAGCTAGGCCTTCCTGTACAGCAGTAGCCCAGAACCTAACCTGCTGTATAAGCAGGGCCCTCCTGTACAGCAGCAGCCTGGGACCTAACCTGCTGTATAAGCAGGGCTCTCCTGTACAGCAGTAGCCTGGGACCTAACCTGCTGTATAAGCAGGGCTCTCCTGTACAGCAGTAGCCTGGGACCTAACCTGCTGTATAAGCTAGGCCTTCCTGTACAGCAGTAGCCCAGAACCTAACCTGCTGTATAAGCAGGGCCCTCCTGTACAGCAGCAGCCTGGGACCTAACCTGCTGTATAAGCTAGGCCTTCCTGTACAGCAGTAGCCCAGGAACCTAAACCTGCTGTATAAGCAGGGCTCTCCTGTACAGCAGTAGCCTGGGACCTAACCTGCTGTATAAGCAGGGCTCTCCTGTACAGCAGTAGCCAGGAACCTAACCTGCTGTATAAGCAGGGCCCTCCTGTATATAAAGAACAAATAATTTCAATTATAAAGTTTTCTTCTTCTCTTTTTTAGTAAATGTATACAGGAGAAGGGGTTACTAGCCCATTGCTCCCGGCATTTTAGTCGCCTCATACGACACGCATGGCTTACGGAGGAAAGATTCTTTTCCACTTCCCCATGGACAATAGAAGAAATAAAAAAGAACAAGAGCTATTTAGAAAAAGGAGAAAAACCTAGATGTATGTATATATATATGCATGTGCGTGTCTGTGAAGTGTGACCAAAGTGTAAGTAGGAGTAGCAAGATATCCCTGTTATCTAGCGTGTTATGAAGACAGAAAAAGAAACCAGCAATCCTACCATCATGCAAAACAGTTACAGGTTTTTGTTTCACAGTCATCTGGCAGGACGGTAGTACTTCCCTGGGTGGTTGCTGTCTACCAACCTAGGAGGGGTGTTAATGTTGCAGTTTAAAAACTGTAGTGTAAAGCACCCTTCTGGCAAGACAGTGATGGAGTGAATGATGGTGAAAGTTTTTCTTTTTCGGGCCACCTTGCCTTGGTGGGAATCGGCCAGTGTGATAATAAAAATAATAAAAATAATTTCAATTATCATTATATTCATAATAATAAAAAATAATCCTAGTTAGTAGGTTGGTAGACAGCAACCGCCCAGGGAGGTACTACCGTCCTACCAAGTGAGTGTGAAATGGAAGCCTGTAATTGTTTTACATGATGGTAGGATTGCTGGTGTCCTTTTTTCTGTCTCATAAACATGCAAGGTATCAGGTACATCTTGCTACTTCTACTTACACTTAGGTCACACTACACATACATGTACAAGCATATACACACCCATCTGGGTTTTCTTCTATTTTCTTTCTAGTTCTTGTTCTTGTTTATTTCCTCTTATCTCCATGGGGAAGTGGAATAGAATTCTTCCTCTGTAAGCCATGCGTGTTGTAAGAGGCGACTAAAATGCCGGGAACAAGGGGCTAGTAACCCCTTTTCCCGTATAAATTACTAAATTTAAAAAGAGAAACTTTCGTTTTTCTTTTTGGGCCACCCTGCCTTGGTGGGATACGGCCGGTTTGTTCGACTGGAACAAATAAGGTTACTATCATGCTGAGGCATTTCAGGCAGACTTGTGGAGAAATACTAAACTAGAAGGGGTCACATTGCACAAGGTTATTAAGTGTTGATTTGAGGAATGAGAACATAGCTCCAATTCCTTAGATCAAGAGCCCTTCAAATGCATAAAGGCAACAACTCCCTTGAAAGGTGAATCTCTTCACAATAACTCTGTATAAGAAAGATGTAACATTATCAACTTATTATAATTCTTTCACACCATCTTGGTAATATTTATCTCACCAATTCTGATAAATAAAATAATTGGGCCATTTATCAGCAGCCTTCAAACCACAAATAAAGTAAAAGTAATAAAAAGGCACAATACCATGACTTGTGTAAATTAAAACAAATAAAATGGCACAATACTGTGACTTGTGTAAATTAAGAGTACAATATGTGCTGTGATTAAACATCTGAAAAATCCCCCCAGGAAAAATTAACAGAACACAAACACCTGAGTACTTTCACGTGTTCACAAACATATGAGAGAATCTTAGTTCTCCGAAAAGTACGTGTAAGCATAAAAACGGCCTTAAATGTCACCTTCCCACCTCAACATATAACTCACTTTCCCACTTAACGATAACAATTTTATTTTAGCATAACACATGAGATGTTGTGTATCTTTATACGTATATGCTGCTAAACTGTTGTTCTGAACACCACTACAAAAACAGTGATAATGTGTGAGTGTGGTGAAAGTGTTGAATGATGATGAAAGTATTTTCTTTTTGGGGATTTTCTTTCTTTTTTGTGTCACCTTGCCTCGGTGGGTCACCCTGCCTCGGTGGGTCACCCTGCCCGTGGGTCACCCTGGCTCGGTGGGGCACCCTGCCTCGGTGGGTCACCCTGCCTCGGGGGGTTACCCGCCCGGTGGTCACCTGCTCGGTGGGTCACCCTGCCTTGGTGGGTTACCCTGCCTCGGTGGGTCACCCTGCCTCAGTGGGTCACCCTGCCTTGGTGGGTTACCCTGCCTCGGTGGGTCACCCTGCCTCGGTGGGTCACCCTGCCTCGGTGGGTCACCCTGCCTTGGTGGGTCACCCTGCCTCGGTGGGTCACCCTGCCTTGGTGGGTCACCCTGCCTCGGTGGGAGACGGCCGACTTGTTGAAAAAAAAAAAAAACATGTTTGTACAAACGAGTATAACAATTTGGTGAACATGCCAACAGCCCCTTTATATGCAGAACATTTCGTGCAAACTTGAGAATAACTTAAGATTAATAGGGCAATAACAGAGCAGTAACTGTACATATGGTCATTAGGTGAGTTACAGTGAATACAGGAAAATTGAATAATCAACTGGTTCACGCTATATGGCTTTAATAAGTTCGGTAAAGGAGAATTACAGTTTTGAAATGGTACATATAAAAAATACAGTATTACAATTTAGTACAATTTAAAACAATGAAATTGAAACAGTTAGAAGTCTGAAATAAATTATCAAATAGCTGAGCAGTCATAATTTATTTAGGAGTGTTTTGATTAACCCGTAAACGGTCCAAGTAGATCTACGTTTTTTTTACATATTTTCAAATATAACAAAAAAAAGAGTAGATCAAAGTTCTTTTTACACATTTTCAAATGTAAAAAAAAACAACAAGAATATCTACTTTTTTTAAATACTTTCAAATGTTGAAAAAACGTATATATACGTTTGGACCGTTTGCAGGTTAACTAGTAGGTGTTAGATACAATGTTTGTCTGGTTAATTTTGGGAGATGAGGTGATTTCTAAGAAGAGCCTTAAATTGATTGCAGGCAGGGGCCCTTCAGTGTGTTTTGGCAATAAATTCCAGATCTTCGGGCAATTTATGTGCATAGCATTTTTCCCAAGGGAGAGACAAACACGAGGGATATCGAAGAGTGATTTGTGCCTTGTGTTATGCCCGTGTGTTCTATTGTAGTTATCAAGGAGAAGTTTGAAAGGAGGGTTAATATTTGAGTATAATGTTGTGTGTGTGTAGAAGGCACAATAATAAGTGTGGATGTTTTGTATATTAAGCAAGTTAAGGGTCTAGTGCAGGAGTTGGTAATCAATCGCACTGCAGCTTTTTGTTGGGTTATTAACCCATAAACTGTCCAAACGTAGATCTACGTTTGTGCGCGCAGCGCTTCAACCTTGATTTTCTCCCTAAGAAACAACGTAAACAAAATGTAGACTATGTTTGAACGTAGATCTACGTTTGGACAGTTTAAGGGCTGAACAAGTGACTTACTTGCACCAGTCAGCAAGGTTATCAGTGGTGTGGTGGAGAGTCGCGGTGACAGAAGCCATCAGAGTCTCCAGACTTTTTGCTGTTTCTTTCATCTTCATTTTCTCCAGCAAGTGAAATTGTTCATCATTGAACGTCAAGGCTGAAAGTTAAATCAATTTTTATTTCCAATACACTATATTGTTTTTATCTCAATAGCCATAAGGAAACACATTCACTATCATTCATTCAGAATGATGGTGAATGTGTTGCCAGAAATGTGCAGATATTGCAATTTAAATGCCTATCAAAACTGCAACATTTCCCCCTCTGCTCTGATTGCAGGCACTGTACTTCTCACCTCCAGGATTCAAGCTGGCTAACCAGTTTCCTCTGAATCCCTTCATAAATGTTATCTTGGTCACTCCAACAGCTGGCCAAGCCATAAAAACCAGTTATCTCTACTCACTCCACTCTTATACACAAAAACTTGCTAAATGCACATCCTTAAACATTTCCTAGGACGACTCCTAACCTCCTTCCACACTCCATTTATACACCATCTTGGTCATCAAAACAAAACTTAAGTTTATTTCTTTGCAAAGATTACAATGTGTGTTTACATTTCATAATTTGATTGGTACAAAGAGAGCCGCTATCATGCCGGGACATCCTATTCTGAGCCTTCCTCTCTAAATACCCAAACCATCTCAACAACCTCTCATTTCACTGAACTAAATACACCTACCATCTGACTTACGACCGAGTTCGGTTCCGAGAAACCGGTCGTAAGTCGAAATGGTCGTAAGTCTAACTTTACTACTGAATATCAACAAAACATTTTTGTAATGATTTTATTTTATTGTTTTATTTTGGTATTTCATGTTTTACTTTACTTTTTATGCTGTTAGTACTGTATTTTATACTGTAAGGTTTAGGATAAACACTGTGTACAACACAAATACTTGTTTATTTCCCAGAAATTTGGCATAAAAAACACGGTCGTAAGTCGAGTGGTAGTAAGTCGAGCAGGTCGTAAGTCGGATGGTAAGTGTATTCCCACACCATCTTCTAATTAATATGCTCTGAATTCTTAGTATAATATTCACACCTAACATAGCCCTCAAACATGATCTCTCCACTAATTCTCCCTGACCCTCCTCACTATAAAATTCAAAGCCCATGTCTCACACCCATATTATTATAATCAAAACTAAGTGCTAACCCCATCAGGGTCATACAGCACTGCTCACACTCTTATAAATGTGTTTGTATCCAGCGTTGTAATTGTGAGTGTACACCAAACTGAAACAATGAAGTATAAAAGCTACATTACCATGGTTGCAATAATTTTTAATGTATCTACCATCTAGCGAGGAAATACTAGGTGTGTCAGCATAGTTGCTGATCCCCTTATATGTGCTGTATAGCATATCATAGTACCATCCATGTGTTTTACACTAGAAGATCCCTAGGCCGATGTTTGTGTGACCACGGATGCGCATTGTACGTTCGTACCCTGCCCCTTCTCAGTCGCAGTAAAAACAATCCAGGCAGTGACAAAAGGCAGGTTGGGCTCCATCTCCCCATTATCACAGTCTGACAATATATATTGTTACCATCCAACTAGTGTGTCTACCTTCAACCCTCAAATCTCCTTTTAAGAACCCCTACGACAGGTGATGTTTAGGTCAATCCTGAACTGTCGTCAAGCTGTGACTTGATGATGATCCCAGATGAAGGAAAATATTAACCAAAATAAGCTAGAAAAACAATATACTTCTTACTGCTATCTCTGACAACAACAATAACTTCTTGCTGCTCTATATCTGATGATAAAAACAACTAACTTATTGATGCTCTTTCTCTGACAACAATAACTTTTTGCTGCTCTATCTCTGACAACAACAACTTACTTCTTGCTGCTCTATATCTGACAACAAAAACAACTTACTTCTTGCTGCTCTTTCTCTGACAACAATAGCTTCTTGCTGCTCTATATCTGATGACAAAAGCAACTTACTTCTTGCTGCTCTATCTCTGACAACAACAATAACTTCTTGCTGCTCTATATCTGATGACAAAAGCAACTTACTTCTTGCTGCTCTGTCCCTGAGCAGATGTTGCCACGACTCTCTCATTTTATTAACATAAGTGGCAGCTTTGTTTGGTGCTCGTTCTACTGTGGCTGCATCGTTCCTGACCTGCTGCCACTGACGCCGCAACTGTCCTCCGCTCACTACTCTCTCATACAACTGGTTTACCACTGGCACTATAGCATTCAGGGATTCACGAACCTAAAAAGGTGAAACCCAATGTGTACCAGAACAAGTATGTGTTTCACTTCTGAAATTTCATGAACAAAACATCCATTGCATTATGTAAATTTCAGTGTACAGGATATTGTAGAATGTTATTTTGCATGTTTAAGTGCCACACTGTGAGTGTTCTGAACAACAAGGAATGTGAAGGCCACAAAATATTAATTAAATTTTGTAACAAACCAGCTGTCTCCCACTGGAACAAGAGCAGCCCGAAAAAGAAGAAAAACTCTTACCATCCCTCACTCCATCACTATCTTACCAGAAGTGAACCAATATAACTAAGATGCCATTCCAAATTGCTACATCCCCACCACCTTTGAAGTGCAGGCACTGTACTTCCCACCTCCAGGACTCAAGTCCAGCTAACTGGTTTCCCTGAATCCCTTCATAAATGCTACCTTGCCAACACTCCAACAGCATGTCAAGCAATAAAAACCACTTGCCTCCACTCACTCTTATCTAATACGCTCACACACGCCTGCAGGATGTATAATACATGTGTATCTACTGTATATATTAAGATCTGTGAAAAAATCTCCTACCCAAAGCACAATCTTATATTTCAAACAATACTGTGCCTTATTTGTTTTCAATATTCTAATATTTAATTTTTTTATAATTTTCTCTAAGTTATCAGTGAAGAAATAACTTTTATTTTGATAAACTTTCTTTGAAAGTGACTCTTCATTCCTACCTTGAATCCCTTTTCAAACTTGACATTATCTGTCAAGGAAAATGATATGTAACATAGCCACTGTTCTAGTTATGTCAATACTGCAGACTAATTTTGAATATTCATGCACATGAGTGGGCTGAACACCACTTCCAATAATCCCACTCAACTAAAGTTACAATACCACAGCTGCAACAATACCCAAGTAACTTGCACATAGGAAAGGTTAGGTAGTGATGACATCTGGCTTTGACTTGGCCCACTGACAAGTAACGTAGACCTGTGGCTTGTCAGTGACTTGTCAGTGACTTGTGACTCATCAGTGGTCCAAGTAGACCTGAATCATCATTATTACTGTCCCTCTCCTGAGCCCGCCCTGCAGCGCTGTATAGTCCTTGTGGCTTAGCGCTTCTTTTTGATTATAATAATAATCTCCTGAGCCCAAGTCACGTTTATAAACCATTCAATCACTACATTTAATCTACTTGAAACTATAAAACAGATTTGACTGGGTTGATAAGGTCAGGTTAGACTGAATTAGGTATAATTAGCATTATATTCATCACTTGTTGTTCAGAGTGTTAAGTGCATGTGCTATATTTCTTCAAGTAAATGTTAACAATATTGCACTCACCACTTTCTCTCCATCACCTGTCCTATCCACCAGTTCCTCAAGCCTCTTAATCCTGGGTTGAGAGGCCTAAGATGCCACCACAACATTTTAATAACCAATAAAAAATTACATGTTTATCAGCCTTAAATGTAATATCAGTCGTGCATTACATGCGCCACTGAGGAGAGAGAAATATATACTGTGCTAGTAATGAGTTGAAAATAAAAGGCAAGACAACAATTTGGGAAGATAACTGGGAAAATACAGGGATGCAAGAAATACAGAGTCTCCCCCACTTACAAACAGGTTCGGTTCTGAGTGGTCGTCCGTATGTAAGTCCATTTGTTGTAAGTCCAACTCGTGTATGTATACAGTATACATGAACGGGGGAAAAATACACGGTGAACACTAGTAAACAAAACGTGCTATAAATGAAATAAAGTTTATAATGTTTATAATAAGGTTTGTAAATAAATTTAATAAAACAGACAGTAAGATAATATAAATTTAATAAAACAGACGATAAGATAATACAAATTTAATAAAACAGAGGGTGTTCGTATTATTGAAAGTTCACAACACAAATGTTTGTATGCAGGGAAGTCTCTGTCATGGGAAAAAATTATGTAAACCCTACAGAAGAGATAGTCTGTCAATGTTTTCTGTTTTGTTTTGCTTTTTGACAAATCTGCCATCTCCCACTGAGGCAGGTGACCTGTAGAAGAAGAAACAAGTTTTTTCTTCTTTTGATATATTTTTTTCAACAAACCGGCCGTCTTGCACTGAGGCATGGTGATCTAAAAAAAAAAACAAGTTTTTCTTTCTATATTTAGTAATATACGCAGGAGAAGGGGTTACTAGCCTCTTGCTCCCGGCATTTTAGTCACCTCTTACAACACGCATGACTTATGGAGGGAGAATTCTGTTCCACTTTCCCATGGAGATCCTTTCAATGTATGAAATATAATGTAAGATACAGTTTATCTTCGAACAGATGTCATAAACACTCATCAGTCAACAGGTAAATCCCACATGGATGAAAAATAAGATCTGAACTTCTGAGCCTCAGTTAGAGCCCCTCTTCAGCAGATCATCTACTGAAGAGAATCTCTGAGGCTAAAATAAACAAATCCTTGCACCTCTGCTTTGTTTTATTCCAATAGCAGTGATCACAAGCACTGTAATACCGTATTTCATGCCTTGTAAGGCACAGCTTATAAGACTTGTTTTGTAAACTAAAAGGACACAAGTGCAACTAATGTGACATTTTATTGTGGCAATGTTTCGCTCTCCAGGAGCTTTATTTGGCTTGATAAAGCTCCTGGAGAGCGAAACGTTGCCACAATAAAATGTCACATTAGTTGCACTTGTGTCCTTTTACTTTACATATTGTCGGTAATTCTACCAACTTTATTACAAGACTTGTTTTAATTTCAATTTCTTGGCATCAGACGCAACAGGGAGATGTACAGCGCACACCACACCCCAAAGTTATAGCTCCCGTCACCGACCTTAAATTTGTCGGCATTATTTTCTACTTTTTACTGGTTTGTTAATGCAGACTATATTCATCAAAATTTTAATTCCTCAATGTATTTACAATAGCAAAAATGTTCTTCATAAATAATCTGAAGTCTTGCTAGGGTACTTACACTAGATTAATATATATAATAAATTAGACACAAGTGCAACGCTTGGGTGTCTTTATTGCAGAAATGTTTTGCCACACAGTGGGTTCCTCAGTCATATACAGAGAAAAAACCATACCATGGGCAGGGATAGAACCCGCGATCAGATTCTCAAAACTCCAGACCGTCGCGTTAGCCACTGGACCAACTAGCCACAATAAGATTCATGGCTAGCTGGTCCAGTGGCTAACGCGACGATCTGGAGTTTTGAGACTCTCTGATCGCAGGTTCTATCCCCGCCCGTGGTATGGTTTGTTTGCAATTGTGTCATTACGATTTCGTGAGTCATATACAGAGAAGAATGGTGAAGATCAGAAAGAGTTGGAGGTAATCAGTCCCTCAGTCTGGAGTCAATATTATCAATTCATCTATCTTGATAAGAAACGTTTCCACAACAAAGATACCCAAGCGTTGCACATGTGACTAATTTATCAACTTGTTGCTTCTCTGAACCATTAACCCGTAAACGGTCCAAACGTATATATACGTTTTTTCAACATTTGAAAGTATGTAAAAAAAGTAGATCTTCTTTTCGTTTTTCTACATTTGAAAATGTATAAAAAAAACTTTGATCTATTTTTTTTTGATTATAAATGTAAAAAAACTATCTAGTTTTGAGCACAACACATGTGAACGTAGATCCGCTTGGACCGTTTACGGGTATATATATATGCCCTCAATACAGGTGTCTGGAGAGAATTTAATGATAATGAAAATGATTATGAAGTTATAAAGACGTAAAGGAAAATAGTAAGGGCCAAAAGGGGAGGGATAAAGGAAACCGAACAGCAAGCTAAAACGTACTTCAAAATAGAAAAAGGGAAAAGGAAAAATCACTAGAAACTAAAGGGCCTTTTTAAAAAAATATACTCCTATGATTATACAATCTTTCAATACATTATCATGCCGGGCAACAGGGGGGATAAACCGCAGAGAACCAAGGCGGAAAACATAAAAAATTTTATAATTTACTTATTATTTACTAGAGGAAAGTCATTTTAGCAACTGAAAGCCATTTTAGATATAAAAAATTTACTTTTTATAGAAGACTGTCAATACTTATCATCAAAGGCGACATGAGGGGAAAAACCTACAGAGATCCAGGGCCGAAATCAAAAAATACAAAAAAATGAAAATTTTTTACTTACATTTTTCCCCTGTCAACTTTATTTTTACAGATCCCTAATCTTTCCCCCGGGGGTGATAAAGGTTTTTTTGGTTGCCACCGCACATCTGATCCCAGAGAAACCGCGGTGGTTTGCTACCACGACTAACCGATCGCTAAAGGGCAGCGTCAGGCCTGCCAGGCCCATCTGATTTTTAAGGGATTGTTAGTTTTTTGAACAATTCCTCACAAAAAAATCAGTGAACTTTAAAAATCACTGTCTGTAAATGAAAAAAAGGTTATTATTATTATTTTTTTTTTCAACACACCCGCCGTCTCCCGAGGTAGGGCGACTTAAACAAAAACAAAGTTTTTTTTTATATTCTTAAAGGTTTTCTTTTTTTTACAAACAACAAAAAAAGGGACAATGCCATGAGGAAAAATACACAACCTGCACATAGGTGACAGAAGCTACGATGGTTTCGCCCGGCTTGGACAGTATTTTACTGTTGACGTTTAATGGGTGGGTTTATGGCCTGGCGGTAAAGCTCTCACTTCATACCTAGGTCCGGTTCGATTCCCGGGAAGGGGCAAAAAAGTGAGGGTGTTTTTCCTTACACCTGTTACCCATCAGAAAATAGGGACCCCGGGGTTTAGGATTAGTGTGGGTCACACCCTGGGGAAAGAAAGCCCTAATTTGCCTGATATGCTCTGCAAACAAGGGCCTTCTATGTAATATTCACTGATGTCAGCTATAGTCTGTAACCTTGTACATGTACTTGTTCCTTGTACATGTACTGTATCCCTTTTACATTTCTTGTTACCTTGTACATGTACTTGTATACCTTTTACATTACTTTTATACCTTTTACTTACTTTTATACCTTTTACATGTACTTGTAACCTTTACATTACTTTTATACCTTTTACATATACTTTTTACCTTGTACATGTACTTGTATACCTTGTACAGTACTTTATACCTTGTACATATACTTTTATACTTTACAGGGATTTTTATACCCTTTTCATGTACTTGATACCTTTACAGGACTGTATACCTTTACAAATTTTATGGGCCCCCGGTTAAAAAATATTTTTTTCATTTCCCGAAGTATGTTTTAGGGGCCTATTTCCGAATTTTTTTCCCAAAGGGAATATTGTAAGTAATTAGTCCATTTCAGACCCCCAAACATACACGTACAAACACACTTACATAAATACACTTACATAATTGGTCCCATTGGGAGTGTCGTTAAGCGGGGGGGGCCCCTGTACTTGTATACCTTGTCATTTCGTACTTGTATACCTTTTACGTTACTTGTATACCTTGTACATATACTTTTATACCTTTTTACATATCTTGTAACCTTGTACATGTACTTTTTTACCTTGTACATGACTTTATACCTTTACAGGTTTTTTTTTTTTTTTTTCAACAGTCGGGGGGCCCCCCCACCAGGCAGGGACCCAAAAAAGAAGAAAATCCCCCCAAAAAAAATACTTTCATCACATTTTAACACTTTTACCACACCCGCACATTATCACTTTTTGCAGAGGTGCTCAGAAAACACAGTTTAGAAGCATACACATATAAAGATGCACAACATATCCCTCCAAACTGATAATATCCCAAACCCCTCCTTTAAAGTGCAGGCATTGTACTTCCCATTTCCAGGACTCAAGTCCGACTATATGAAAATAACCGGTTTTCCTGAATTTTTTTTTTTTTTTTTTTTTTTTTTTTCAACAAGTCGGTCGTCTCCCACCGAGGCAGGGTGACCCAAAAAAAGAAAGAAAATCCCCAAAAAGAAAATACTTTCATCATCATTCAACACTTTCACCACACTCACACATTATCACTGCTTTTGCAGAGGTGCTCAGAATATAACAGTTTAGAAGCATATACGTATAGAGATACACAACATATCCCTCCAAACTAAATATTACCTCACTAAATATTACCCTGCTCACACTCCAACAGATCGTCAGGTCCCAAGTACCATTCGTCTCCATTCACTCCTATCTAACACGCTCATGCACGCTTGCTGGAAGTCCAAGCCCCTTGCCCACAAAACCTCCTTTACCCCCTCTCTCCAACCCTTTCGAGGACGACCCCTACCCCGCCTTCCTTCCCCTATAGATTTATATGCTTTCCATGTCATTCTACTTTGATCCATTCTCTCTAAATGACCAAACCACCTCAACAACCCCTCTTCTGCCCTCTGACTAATACTTTTATTAACTCCACACCTTTTCCTAATTTCCACACTCCGAATTTTCTGCATAATATTTACACCACACATTGCCCTTAAACAGGACATCTCCACTGCCTCCAACCGTCTCCTCGCTGCTGCATTTACCACCCAAGCTTCACACCCATATAAGAGTGTTGGTGCTACTATACTTTCATACATTCCCTTCTTTGCCTCCATAGATAACGTTTTCTGACTCCACATATACCTCAACGCACCACTCACCTTTTTTCCCTCATCAATTCTATGATTAACCTCATCCTTCATAAATCCAAACCGCCGACACATCAACTCCCAAGTATCTGAAAACATTCACTTCTTCCATACTCCTCCTCCCCAATTTGATATCTAATTTTTCTTTATCTAAATCATTTGATACCCTCATCACCTTACTCTTTTCTATGTTCACTTTCAACTTTCTACCTTTACACACATTCCCAAACTCATCCACTAACCTTTGCAATTTTTCTTTAGAATTCCCATAAGCACAGTATCATCAGCAAAAAGTAACTGTGTCAATTCCCATTTTGAATTTGATTCCCCAAAATTTAATCCCACCCCTCTCCCGAGCACCCTAGCATTTACTTCCTTTACAACCCCATCTATAAATATATTAAACAACCATGGTGACATTACACATCCCTGTCTAAGACCTACTTTTACCGGGAAGTATTCTCCCTCTCTTCTACACACCCTAACCTGAGCCTCACTATCCTCATAAAAACTCTTTACAGCATTTAATAACTTACCACCTATTCCATATACTTGCAACATCTGCCACATTGCTCCTCTATCCACTCTATCATATGCCTTTTCTAAATCCATAAATGAAATAAAAACTTCCCTACCTTTATCTAAATACTGTTCACATATATGCTTCAATGTAAACACTTGATCTACACATCCCCTACCCACTCTGAAACCTCCTTGCTCATCCGCAATCCTACATTCTGTCTTACCTCTAATTCTTTCAATAATAACCCTACCGTATACTTTTCCTGGTATACTCAATAAACTTATTCCTCTATAATTTTTACAATCTCTTTTGTCCCCCTTCCCTTTATATAAAGGGACTATACATGCTCTCTGCCAATCCCTGGGTACCTTCCCCTCTTTCATACATTTATTAAACAAAAGTACCAACCACTCCAACACTATATCCCCCCCCTGGTCACAGGCCTGGTCACAGGCCTGGTCACAGACTGGGCCACGGGGGCGTTGATCCCCGGAACTCTCTCCAGGTAAACTCCAGGTAAATACCTCCATCTCCCCATCTACTAACTCCCCAACTCTGTTTTTAACTGACAAATCCATACTTTCCCTAGGCTTTCTTAACTTGTTTAACTCACTCCAAATTTTTTTCTTATTTTCATTAAAATTTCTTGACAGTGCCTCTCCCACACAATCATCTGCTCTCCTTTTGCACTCTCTCACCACTCTCTTCACCTTTCTATTACTCTCCATATACTCTGCTCTTCTTATAACACTTCTGCTTTGTAAAAACCTCTCATAAGCTACCTTTTTCTCTTTTATCACACCCTTTACTTCATCATTCCACCAATCACTCCTCTTTCCTCCTGCACCCACCCTCCTATAACCACAAACTTCTGCCCCACATTCTAATACTGCATTTTTAAAACTATTCCAACCCTCTTCAACCCCCCCACTACTCATCTTTGCACTAGCCCACCTTTCTGCCAATAGTCGCTTATATCTCACCCGAACTTCCTCCTCCCTTAGTTTATACACTTTCACCTCCCTCTTACTTGTTGTTGCCACCTTCCTCTTGTCCCATCTACCTCTTACTCTAACTGTAGCTACAACTAAATAATGATCCGATATATCAGTTACTTGTAGAAAATAAAGATACTATTATTATTATTATTAAGAACCAAAATATAGCCGTAAGTTTCTTCAATGTGCAGGTTATTTGTGTTCTTTTTTACGTTTAGTAATATATACAGGAGAACTGGTTATTAGCCCCTTGCTCCTGGCATTTTTGTCACCTCTTACGACACACACGGCTTACAGCTGAAGATTTCTGTTCCACTCACCCATGGAGATAAGAAGAAATAAATAAATAAGAACTACTAAGAAAGTAGAAGAAAACTCAGATGGGGTGTGTGTACATGCACAGGGAGGCCCCACTTTACAGCAATTTGCTAATACACGTACAGTGGCTTTCAGTTATACCATTCTTAATTTATTCAAACTTACTACACTAAATACAGTGGACCCCCGCATAACGATGGCATCGCATAGCGATTTTTCCGCATAACGATTACTTTTATCGCAAAATTTTTGCCGCGCATACCGATTAAAAACCCGCATACCGATTTTCGTCCGAGACGCGTCCAATGTGCCCTCAGCCAGCCTCACATGTGCCGCTCCGTCCCATTGTTTACCAGCCAGCCTCCGCGGTAACATCCAAGCATACACTCGGAATATTTCGTATTATTACAGTATTTTCGGTGCTGTTTCTGGAAAATAAGTGACCATGGGCCCCAAGAAAGCTTCTAGTGCCAACCCTGTGGTAAAAAGGGTGAGAATTAGTATGGAAATTAAGAAAGATTTTGAAGGGTTTGGGGCTAACCCTGAGAAGCCTATGCCAGTTGTGGAATCCATTGTGCCTACTTCAAAGATTAAGGAAATGTGTGCAGAGTGGGTTGAACTGCAAACCTTTATAGATGAAAATCACCCTGACACAGCTGTTGCAAGCCGTGCTTGTGACTATTTCAATGACAATGTTATGGCCCATTTTAGGAAAGTCTTGAAGGAACGGGAGGTACAGAGCTCTATGGACAGATTTGTTGTGCGACAGAGGTCCAGTGACTCTCAAGCTGGTCCTAGTGGCATTAAAAGAAGAAGGGAAGTAACCCCAGAAAAGGACTTGCTACCTCAAGTCCTAATGGAAGGGGATTCCCCTTCTAAACAGTAAGAAGATAATGCTCTCCCCTCCTCCCATCCCATCAATCATCACCAGATCTTCAATAAAAGTAAGTGTCATGTAATTGTGCATGCCTTTTTCAGTTTGTGTGTATTAAAATTAACATTTCATGTGGTAAAAAAAAATTTTTTTCATACTTTTGGGCGTCTTGCACGGATTAATTTTATTTCCATTATTTCTTATGGGGAAAATTCATTCGCATAACGATTATTTCGCATAACGATGAGCCCTCTTGCACGGATTAAAATCGTTAACCGGGGGTCCACTGTATATTCACCACTCACTATAAGTAACAGATGAAAATATTTTAGGGTAAGTAATGTATTCTCCATGGGGAAGTGGAACAGAATTCTTCCTCTGTAAGTCGTGTGTGTAGTAAGAGGCGACTAAAATACTGGGAGCAAGGGGCTAGTAACCCCTTCTCCTGTACGTTACTAAATTTAAAAAGAAAAACTTATTTTTTTTCTTTTTTTAGGTCACCCTGTCTCTGTGGGATACAACCAGTATATTAAACAATAAAAAGTAGTGAATGTACTGCATATACATATTTTTTGGTCTAACTCTACTGCTCACCTAATATATGATAGTGTAAACATGTTACCAGGATTTTATATGTACAGTGGACCCCTGGTTTACGATATTATTTCATTCCAGAAGTATGTTCAGGTGCCAGTACTGACCGAATTTGTTCCCATAAGGAATATTGTGAAGTAGATTAGTCCATTTCAGACCCCCAAACATACACGTACAAACGCACTTACATAAATACACTTACATAATTGGTCGCATTCGGAGGTGATCGTAAAGCGGGGGTCCACTGTATTTGGAAGTGAAAACAGGCTATGATTCACTTTACAGCAATTTTAGCTTTACAGTAGTAGCCTGGAAGCTAACCTGCTGTATAAGCAAGGTCGTCATGTAGCTTACGATTCTGATAATCATGCCGTCACTTATGAAATACATGTATAAGCTTTCAAATTCTTTTCTTCACTGTATTTATGGTCTGATACACAAGAGCTTGTGAATTTCTCCAAAAAACAGGAACACAATTATAAAAAATCTTAAATTATTATTTAAATAATGAACTGATTCTCAATACTCGCACATCTATGACCAATTAACCCGTAAACGGTCCAAGCAGATCTACGTTCACATGTGTAGCGCTACAAAAGTAGATCTACGTTTTTTTTACATATTTTCAAATATAACAAAAAAAAAAAGTAGATCAAAGTTTTTTTACACATTTTCAAATGTAAAAAAACAAAAACAAGATCTACTTTTTTTACATACTTTCAAATGTTGAAAAAACGTATATATACGTTTGGACCGTTTACGGGTTAAACAATACATACAGACATTTTATTTTTATTTTGATTAACACATCAGCCGTCTCCCACCAAGGCAGGGTGGCCTGAAAAAGAAAAACTTTCATCATCATTCACTCCATCACTGTCTTGCCAGAGGCGTGCTTACACAACAGTTATAAAACTGTAACATTAACACCTCACTAATATGGTAATCAGTCCCTCAGCCTTGAGTCGATGTGGTCAGTCCATCAATCTTGAATAGAATACGGAATATGAGCGGAGAAGCAGCTTATAAACCGTAGGCAGGAGAGGTGCAGCAGATGTAGGTGGTGTCACATTTGCCTAACCCTTGGGCACGACCTACTTCCACAATGAACAAATGTGACACCACCTACGTCTGCTGCACCTCTCCTGCCTGCGGTTTATAAGCTGCTTCTCCGCTCATATTCCATATTCTATTCAAGATTGATGGACTGACCACATCATCTCACTAATATGTCGTGTTACATTCCAGACAGCTGATGTACAGAGAATATCACATTAAAGTGAATCACAACCATTTTTTTTTACTTGTCAATGCATATAAAAAGCATAAAAATATGTTTACACTAACATTTCTTAAGTGTGAAATACAAATAAGTCTAAAAAAAGCACAAAAGTTTAAACAATAAATAAAAAAAATTTGAAAATTGTCGAAAGCCATTTCGAGAGCAAGGCAAGTGCCAGAAACACACGTAATAAACATGATAAGTGAAAAGCGCTGTATTAATGAAGCACTTAAAGTGGGCACAGTATTAACACAGTATGCCTGAATACTGTACAGTGGACCCCCGGTTAACGATATTTTTTCACTCCAGAAGTATGTTCAGGTGCCAGTACTGACCGAATTTGTTCCCATAAGAAATATTGTGAAGTAGATTAGTCCATTTCAGACCCCCAAACATACACATACAAACGCACTTACATAAATACACTTACATAATTGGTCACATTCGGAGGTAATCATTATGCGGGGGTCCACTGTACTAAAGAGTTTCCGATGTATTTTACATGGAATAGACCAAGTGACATTATTACATATAAAACTCTAAAAAGACAGACATCTAATATAATATACTAACATGATCCTACCTTACCTATCTTTGATGAGTTCAAAGAGTTTTTTTTTTTTTTTTTTTTTACTGCCAGAGTCTGGCCTTGGACTAGGCTCCACCACAATTTCCCCTCAAGGGAGGTTCCTTGACGCTGGTGAGGGGCTCTTGATCTAGGGAATTGGATCTGTGCTCCAGTTCCCTGAATTGAGCCTGAATACCTTCCATCCCTCCCCCCCACATGCATTGTATAATCCTAAGGGTTTAGCTCTCCCACATGATTATAATAATAATAATCCACCACAATTTATTAATTTAGAAAATCCTATCACTTTAGCTCCAAAGATTACTTGTTCTGACTGAAGAAATAATGAGTGCTACAAAAAGAACAGAAAATATACTGCTAAACCCAAGGAACATGATAATGATTTGAAAAATTGTTTAGAAAACTGACAGGATGATGAGTGAGACTCTTGTGTAACTCTTGGCAATTAGTTAGTGGTTTCTTCAGTCCAATGCAGAGAAATGGTTGAAGATGAGGAGTTTGGGGTAATCAGTCCCTCAGCCTGGAGTCAATGTGTTCAGTCCAAGACTGATGGACAGAACACATAGACTCCAGACTGCAGGACTGATTACTTCAAACTTCCCTTCATCTTCCACCACTTCTCTGCACTGGACTGAAGAAGCCACCAGCTGGCAAACCATTTCCATAATAAAAATTCCCAAGTACTGTATTGTATAAATAACAAAAAGGCACAATACCATGACTGGAACGATACACAAATAACCCGCACATAAAAGAGAGAAGCTTACGACGACATTTCGGTCCGACTTGGACCATTGGCAAAGTCAATGGTCCAAGTCGGACTGAAACGTCGTCGTAAGCTTCTCTCTTTTATGTGCGGGTTATTTGTGTACTGTATTGTATAAGTGTCTTATTCATCAACACACTGAATTCAGTTATGAAATACTGTACTTACATGAAAGTGAGAACACTGTACTTACATGAAAGTGAGAACACTGTACTTACATGAAAGTGAGAACACTGTACTTACATGAAAGTGAGAACACTGTACTTACATGAACGTGAGAACACTGTACTTACATGAACGTGAGAACACTGTACTTACATGAACGTGAGAACACTGTACTTACATGAACATGAGAACACTGTACTTACATGAACATGAGAACACTGTACTTACATGAACGTGAGAACACTGTACTTACATGAACATGAGAACACTGTACTTACATGAACATGAGAACACTGTACTTACATGAACATGAGAACACTGTACTCGATCAAATGAACACACTTGGAGAAGTAGTCAATCTTGCGTTTGACAGCGTGTGCAACAGAGCACATAGACTTCCCAACGGCAGCATCGTGCTCCACACTAACCAAGGCCGGAAAACTGCCAAATTTCACAGCTGTTCGTAAGTAATTGGCAGGTGTTAACAAAAACAGAGCAGGAGGTACAAAAATAAAATAGAATAAGTTAACAACAAATATAAATGGGTGAGCAAATTAACATTTATGAAGAGATTCAGAGAAACAGGTTAGTTAGACTTAAGTCCTGGAGGTGGGAAGTACAGTGCCTGCACTCTGAAGGATGGGTTAGGAAGTTGCAGTCCTGGAGGTAGGAAGTACAGTGCCTGCACTCTGAAGGATGGGTTAGGAAGTTACAGTCCTGGAGGTGAGAAGTACAGTGCCCGCACTCTGAATGATGGATGAGGATGTTACAGTCCTGGAGGTGGGAAGTACAGTGCCTGCACTCTGAATGATGGATGAGGATGTTACAGTCCTGGAGGTGGGAAGTACAGTGCCTGCACTCTTAACCCTTTGACTGTTTTGGTCGTATATATACGTCTTACGAGCCAGTGTTTCGGACGTATATACACTTAATAATTATAGCGGTTTCAAATCAAGCAGGAGAAAGCTGGTAGGCCCACATGTGAGAGAATGGGTCTGTGTGGTCAGTGTGCAACACATAAAAAAATCCTGCAGCATGCAGTGCATAATGAGAAAAAAAAACTCTGACCGTTTTTTGGAATTAAAACGCCGACTTTGAGGTGTATTTTCATATAGTATTTATCATTGTATTCTCATTTTCATGGTCTCACGTGATAAAATGGAAAACATATTGCAGAAATAGAAATAATTTTGATTAGTTTCACAATGAAAACGACCTTGAAATTGAGCTCAAAGTAGCGGAAATGTTCAATTTTTACCAATGTTCAAGAATAAACAAATCACACCACACGTCAACTGGGGAGTCTAATATTCTTTCACTAGTACACTGATATTATTTACACCATTTTTACAATAATGCAGTAGTCTGCATAACAGTAAATTTTGTATTTTTTGTATGAATAAAAAATCAAAATAGAAAGCAATAGTAATATAAAAGGGGCCTAGAGACATGACTAATGAACAGAGGATATGTTATTTTAGTGCCAAGAATGTCTACATTGTTTATTCTGGACCCTATTTTGAAATTGGAATCTTTTTTAATTTGTGTGAAATTGGCCAAATTGTCAAATTCTGACCACTTTATTGGGTAGTTCAAATCAGTAAATGGGCAGTTTCTTGTACTTAATTGATAGAAAAAATTGAGTTCTAAAGAAATAGCTATGAGTTTGGTCAACTGGAACAACGGAATTGGCCAAAAACAGGGCTCAAAGTCGGCAAAATTGCCGATGCGTATATGTCTCCGAGACTGCTAACTTCGCGGGAGCGTAATTCCGTGAGTTTTCGACCAAATTACGTACTTTTGGTGTCGTCCATTGGGAAAAGGTTCTCTATCATTTCATAAGAAAAAATAATTCTTTTTTCCAAAAATTTTGCAACATAGAATGACAGTTCCAGAAAGGGGCTTGCAACAGTCAAAGGGTTAAGGATGGGTGAGGAATGTTACAGTCCTAGAGGTGAGAAGTACAGTGCCTGCACTTTGAAAGATGGGTGAGGATGTTACAGTCCTGGAGGTGGGAAGTACAGTGCCTGTACTCTTAAGGATGGGTGAAGATGTTACAGTCCTGGAAGTGGGAAGTACAGTGCCTGCACTCTGAAGGATGGGTGAAGATGTTACAGTCCTGGAAGTGGGAAGTACAGTGCCTGCACTCTGAAGGATGGGTGAGGATGTTGCAGTCCTGAAAGTGGGAAGTACAGTGCCTGTACTCTGAAGGATGGGTGAAGATGTTACAGTCCTGGAAGTGGGAAGTACAGTGCCTGTACTCTGAAGGATGGGTGAAGATGTTACAGTCCTGGAAGTGGGAAGTACAGTGCCTGCACTCTGAAGGATGGGTGAGGATGTTGCAGTCCTGAAAGTGGGAAGTACAGTGCCTGCACTCTGAAGGATGGATGAAGATGTTACAGTCCTGGAAGTGGGAAGTACAGTGCCTGCACTCTGAAGGATGGGTGAGGATGTTGCAGTCCTGAAAGTGGGAAGTACAGTGCCTGCACTCTGAAGGATGGATGAAGATGTTACAGTCCTGGAAGTGGGAAGTACAGTGCCTGCACTCTTAAGGATGGGTGAAGATGTTGCAGTCCTGAAAGTGAGAAGTACAGTGCCTGTACTCTGAAGGATGGGTGAAGATGTTACAGTCCTGAAAGTGGGAAGTACAGTGCCTGCACTCTGAAGGATGGGTGAAGATGTTACAGTCCTGGAAGTGGGAAGTACAGTGCCTGCACTCTGAAGGATGGATGAGGATGTTACAGTCCTGGATGTGGGAAGTAGAGAGCTTGCACTCTGAAGGAGGAGTGAGGATGTTGTAATTCAGAAGTCCTTTGAACTGTGATGCTAGTGTGCTTCTGGCAAGAGAGTGATTGAATGAATGATGGTGAATGTGTTCGATCTGTTTTTTCATCACCATACCTCAGCAGATGGCTAATCTTAAAAAAAAAAAAAAAAAAAAAAGAGGAGAGAGAGAGAGAGAGATGAGAGAGAGGAGAGAGAGAGAGACAGGAGAGAGAGAGAGAGAGACGAGAGAGATGAGAGAGGGAGAGAGGGAGAGAGGGAGAGAGGGAGAGGAGAGAGGGAGAGAGAGAGGGAGAGAGAGAGAGAGAGAGAAGAGAGAGAGGAGAGGAAGAGAGGGAGAGGAGAGAGAGAGGGATGAGAGAGAGAGAGGGAGAGAGAGAGGGGAGGAGAGAGAGAGGAGAGAGAGAGAGTGGAGGAGAGAGAGGAGAGAGGAGAGAGAGAAGGGAGGAGAGAGAGGGAGAGAGAGAGGGAGAGAGAGGGAGAGAGAGAGAGGGAGAGAGAGGGGAGAGAGAGAGAGGGGAGAGAGAGAGAGAGAGAAAGAGAGGGAGAGAGAGAGAGAGAGAGAGGGGGAGAGAGAGAGAGAGGGAGAGAGAGGGGAGAGAGAGGGGGAGAGAGAGGGGGAGAGAGAGGAGAGAGGGAGAGAGAGAGAGGGAGAGAGAGAGGGAGAGGGGTGAGAGAGAGGGGAGAGAGGAGAGAGGGGAAGAGAGAGAGGGGGAGAGGAGAGAGAAGAGGGAGAGAGAGAGGGAGATAGAGAGAGAGGGAGAGAGAGAGAGAGGGAGGGAGAGAGAGGGAGAGGGGGGAGAGAGAGAGGGAGAGAGAGAGAGAGGGAGAGAGAGAGGGAGAGAGAGAGGGAGAGAGAGAGGGAGAGAGAGAGAGAGGGAGAGAGAGGAGAGAGAGGGAGGGGGGGAGAGAGAGAGAGGGAGGAGAGAGAGAGGGGGAGAGAGGAGGAGGAGAGAAGGGAGAGAGAGAGGGAGAGAAAAGAGAGAGGGAGAGAGAGAGGGAGAGAGAGAGAGAGGGGAGAGGAGAGGGAGAGAGAGGAGAGGGAGGGGAGAGAGAGAGGAGGGAGGAGAGAGAGAGAGAAGAGAGGAGGAGAGAGAGAGAGGGAGAGGGGAGAGGGAGGGGAGAGAGAGAGGGAGAGAGAGAGAGGGATGAGAGAGAGAGAGAGGGAGAGAAAAGGAGAGAGAGAGAGAGGGAGAGAGAGGGAGAGAGAGAGGGGAGAGAGAGAGAGAGGAGAGTGAGGGAGGAGAGAGAGGAGAGAGAGAGAGAGGGAGAGAGAGAGAGAGGGAGAGAGAGAGGGGGAGATGAGAGAGAGGAGGGGAGAGAGAGAGGAGGAGAGAGAGAGAGGGAGGAGGGAGAGAGAGAGAGGGAGAGTGAGAGAGGGAGAGAGAGAGAAGGAGGGGGGAGAGAGAGGGAGAGGAGGGAGAGAGAGAGTGAGGGAGAGGGGAGGGAGGAGAGAGAGAGAGAGAAGAGAGAGGAGAGAGAGAGAAGAGAAGAGAGAGAAGAGGAGGGGAGGAGAGAGAGAGAGAGAGAGAGAGAGAGAGAGAGAAAGGGAGGGGGTGGCAGCAAGCAGCCAACACGTGTGCAGAAATACAGTATCTTGCTTGTAATCTTCTGTAGCCATCTCATGTAAACTAAGAAAACTTGCAAATGATTTTGCAAAGAAAACAATAACTGTACTGACAACTTTGTTGAAAACTGCTGTAAGAAAACTAGCCAGAACACAACTCTACTAAATTCTTTACCATCACCAGCTGAAAGTCACAAGTAATTTTACGGATTTTGTATATATTTTTTAATGGACCAGCTGTCTCCCACCAAGATAGGGTTACCTAAAAGGAAAACTAAAAGTTTTCCTTTTATATTTAATATTTATACAGAAGGAGGGGATTACTAGTCCCTTGCTAGGTTAGGTTAGGTAAGGTTCGTCAGGAAACAGGACAAATGTTTCCTGACGCGGGTCTTATTCAGATGATGACCCGCCTTTGGAGCTTTTGGTCATCTGACCGAGGCCTTCCGCTGGCTTACCGGTCCACCCCTTTTGAAAATTATGCTCATTTATAACCAGTTATATTTTTTTTCTAGTCCCTTGCTTCCGGCATTTTAGTCACCTCAAATTTCACAAATTACTAAACTATCAAAAGAAACCATAGCACCTACCTGGTGACTCAGGCAGGGTTAAGGTGACATCGTCTTCTTGCTTTGAGAAGAGAACGATGGGCATTCTGGGGTTTGTAGTAGGGTAGGATGAAGCAGGCTGGTCGAGAGCCACAACATCATTCAGGTGCTTGTTGTCATACAAGAGAAGCTGGTTATCTGGGTTCATATCCGTCTGTTCACAGATTAAATACTGCAGTTCTTCATATCTGAAAATATAGTAATCTGTATCACATTACAATGCCATACCATGAAAGCAGAAACATATACTACTTTGACATTCTTAAGAAGATCTTCTTTCTTCTTTTTTTCAACGCACCCGGCTGTATCCCACCGAGACAGGGCGGCCCAAAAAGAAAAACGAAGGTTTCGCCTTATAAATTTAGTAGTGTATACAGGAGAAAGGGTTACTAGCCCCTTGCTCCCGGCATTTTAGGCGCCTCTTATGACACGTATAGTTTGCGGAGGAAGAATTCTGTTCCACTTCCCCATGGAGATAAGAGGAAATAAACAAGAACAAGAACTAGTAAGAAAATAGAAGAAAACCCAGAGGGGTGTGTATATATATGTTTGTACATGTATGAGTAGTGTGACCTAAGTGTAAGTAGAAGTAGCAAGACGTACCCAAAATCTTGCATGTTTATGAGACAGAAAAAAGACACCAGTAATCCTACCATCATGTAAAACAATTACAGGATTCTGTTTTACACTCATTTGGCAGGACGGTAGTACCGTCCTGGGCGGTTGCTGTGTACCTACTACCTAGGTCTTAAGAATATGTCAAAATATATTGTATTCTTTATCACATTATAATGCCTTACCATGAAAGTAAAAGCATAGTAGATTTTGACATATTCTTAAAAATAATACCATATGAAGGGGAAAGCTGCAAGATTTGAAGAACATTTTGACCAATGAAATATTAATACAGACTATTTTAGGACACCAGGCAAAACTTACCTATGTTGTAACAACATAGTATTAAATAACGTAGCAGGAACTACATTTGCTGTACTTCCTATCTCAGGCATGTTTGCCCGTTTTGACCATGATAAGTGAAAATGAGTATTGAACTTGACATAAGAAAAGGAATATCCCTTATACAAACCCAGGCATCTCTGACTCAAGCAAATTGCAAAGACAAAGACACCCAGCTATCGTACATATTCTAGTACAGAAGTTGTCCAAACTGTGCGCGGAACACTATCTGAATACCAATTATTATTTTATACTATATTTCGTGTAAACAATGTATTTTAACCAATGAAAATTTTATCATAACCCAGGCTAGTCTCCTCAGTGAGGTAAGGTGACAAAAAAGAAAATATAGCAAGAGCCAACTTCTAACATATTCTTTTCTCATTTTCATAATTTATACAGAAGTGTTACTAGCACCTGTTGAATCAGCTGCTGATCTCCCAGGAGGATGGTGCAAAGAACCAGAGCCGCAGGAGTTTCTTTCCCGGAATTTTCAGGTGAAGTTACTAGCACCTTGCTGCCGTAATTTTAGTTACTTCTTACAGTACACATGGCATACAGAAGGCGGATTCTTCTCCACTTCTCCATGGAGAGTGCCTTAATTCCACTTAAATATTACATGTCAATAAATTATACAATATAGTATAATGAATCAAAGACAATAATCAACCAATATATTTTGGATGTTAGTTCAAGCTTTGTTTTTGCTATCAAAAATTTTGAGATGGGGTGCACAGGTTAGGATAAATTCAGTTTGGGATACACACTCTAATAAATGTTAGAAAACCCTGCTCTAGCATTATGAATTAAGAGGCACACTACTGTGACCGGAACAAAATATAAATAACCCGCAAAAAGGAGAGAAACTTACGACGATATTTCAGTCCAAACTGAAGCAGTGACTAGTCACACACTAGTTAGTGGTCCAAGTCAGACCAAAACATCACAGATTTCTTTCTCCTATGTTTGGGTTATTTGTATACTGCTCTAGCATATACCAAGTTGCTTTCCTACACTGTTAAGAACAGTAAGTCCTCAACTTACAAACACATCGGGGACCTTCTGAATTATGTATGATATTCGTAATACAGGATGTCTTCAACTTATTAACACATTGGGAACTTCTGTGTTGTATATAATAATGATATTATACACATACATGCACGTATATACACATATATACACGTATATGCTTCTAAACTGTTGTATTCTGAGCACCTCTGCAAAAACAGTGATAATGTGTGAGTGTGGTGAAAGTGTTGAATGATGATGAAAGTATTTTCTTTTTGAGGATTTTCTTTCTTTTTTGGGTCACCCTGCCTCGGTGGGAGACGGCCGACTTGTTGAAAAAAAAAAAATTATACACAATAATGATCTTTCTTCTTCTGTCAACGCACCAGTTGTATTCCACCGAGGCGGGGTGGCCCAAAAGGAAAAACGAAAGTTCTTTTCTTTCTTCTTTCAACACACCGGCCGTATCCCACTGAGGCAGGGTGGCCCAAAAGAAAAACGAAAGCTTCTCCTTTTACATTTATTAATATATACAGGAGAAGGGGTTACTAGCCCCTTGTTCCCGGCATTTTAGCCGCCTCTTACAACACGCATGACTTACGAAGGAAGAATTTTATTCCACTTCCCCATCGAGAACAATAATGATATAATGATGATATCATACATACAGAATAAAGTTCTCAGTATGGTCATAAGTTGAGGACATACTATATAATCCATAATATTTTCTCATGTTGTTTCCCTACCTTGTCTAGTTTATCCAGTACTGTTGTCCACCATTGCTTGAGTATAATTCATGCACTTTTTCTGCACTATCTAGTATATCTTGTGGGGTGTCCCTATATACTCATCCTAATGTTAATCCAAACCTTTTCCTAAGATGCACCAACATATAAGGTTTGAAGTTGATCAAGCAACTCATTCTTCAGTAAAAAAAAAAATAAAAAAGGAAACATATGCACCATCACTCACTCAATTGCTATCTTGCCAGAAGCCTGCTTGACATCATAGTTTAGATGACCCATTAAGTTATCCTATGCAAAAAATATCCCAATTATATACACAAAATTTACAAATTAACACATACATAGTGTGTGGTAGGCTGGTAGACAGCAACCACCCAGGGAGGCGCTACCCTGCCACCAAGTGAGTGTTAAATGCAAACCTGTAATTGTTTTACACAACGGTAGAATTGTTGGAGTCTTTCCTTTCTGTCTTATAAACACAAGACAACAGGTATATCTTGCTACTTCTACTTACACTCAGGTCACACTACATATGCATGTATACGTATATGTATACACATACATAAATAACCCGCACATAGAAGAGAGAAGCTTCTATGTGCGGGTTTTTATCTATTTTGTCTATTTTCTTAGTAGTTCTTGTTCTTAATTATTTCCCTTCATCTGCATGGGAAAGTGGAGAAGAATCCTTCCTGTGTAAGCCATGTGCGTTGTGGGAGGCGATTAAAATGCTGGGAACAAGGGGCTAGTAACCCCTTGACCTACATAAATTACAAAATGTAAAAAAAAGAAAAACTTTGGTTTCTCATTTTCATGTCACCTGCCTTAGTGGGTGATGGTCGGTGTGTTAAAATAATGGAAAAAATAGCACATACACCTACCATCCGACTTACGACCTGCTCGACTTACAACCGTGTTTTTTATGCCAAATTTCTGGGAAATACACAACTATTTGTGTTGTGTACAGTGTTTATCCTAAACCTTACAGTATAAAATACAGTACTAACAACATAAAAAGTAAAGTAAAACATGAAATACCAAAATAAAACAATAAAATAAAGTCATTACAAAAATGTTTTGTTGATATTCAGTAGTAAAGTTCGACTTACGACCATTTCGACTTACGACCAGTTTCTCGGAACCGAACTCGGTCGTAAGTCGGATGGTAGGTGTACTATAATAACAATCTGAACTTTCTTCTATGTTAGGATACACCGGTGGTGAAAGCTTCAAGTTGATCAGAAGAAACATTCTCAAGGTATTGCATGGACAACGAGACCATTTCATAGTTTTCAAACTGACCACAGGGTGCCTGCACGTCCCAATAACATAAACCTTTCCCTAAAGAATAAAAAAGGCACAACATTATGACTCCTAGTTAGCAGGTTGGTAGACAGCAACCGCCCAGGGAGGTACTACCGTCCTGCCAAGTGAGTGTACAACGAAAACCTGTAATTGTTTTACATGATGGTAGGATTGCTGGTGTCTTTTGTCTGTCTCATAAACATGCAAGATTTCAGGTACATCTTGGTACTTCTACTTACACTTAGGTCACACTACACATACATGTACAAGCATATATATACACACCCCTCTGGGTATTCTTCTCTTTTCTTTCTAGTTCTGTTCTTGTTTATTTCCTCTTATCTCCATGGGAAAGTGGAACAGAATTCTTCCTCCGTAAGCCATGCGTGTTGTAAGAGGCGACGAAAATGCCGGGAGCAAGGGGCTAGTAACCCCTTCTCCCGTATAAATTACTAAATTTAAAAGAGAAACTTTTGTTTTTCTTTTGGGCCACCCTGCCTTGGTGGGATACGGCCGGTGTGTTGAAAGAAAGAAAGAACATTATGACTAAAACAATACTAGTTAACCCTTTGACTGTTTTGGTCGTATATATACGTCTTACAAGCCAGTGTTTCAGACGTATATATACTCAATAATTTTAGCGGCTTCAAATCAAGCAGGAGAAAGCTGGTAGGCCCACATGTAAGAGAATGGGTCTGTGTGGTCAGTGTGCACCATATAAAAATAAACCTGCAGCACGCAGTGCATAATGAGAAAAAATAAACTCTGACAGTTTTTTGGATTAAAACGGCGACTTTGAGGTGTATTTTCGTATAGTACTTATCGTTGTATTCTCATTTTCATGTTCTCGTGTGATAAAATGGAAAACATATTGCAGAAATAGAGATGATTTTGATTAGTTTCGTGATGAAAACGACCTTGAAATTGAGCTCAAAGTAGCGGAAATGTTCGATTTTTACCAATGTTCAAGAGTAAGCAAATCACATCACACATTCAATACACGTCAACTGGGGAGTCTAATATTTTTTCACTAGTGCACTGATATTATTTATACCATTTTTACAATAATGCAGTAGTCTGCATAATAGTAAATTTTGTGATTTTTGTATGAATAAAAAATCAAAATAGAAAGCAATAGTAATATAAGAGGGGCCTATAGACATGACTAATGAGCAGAGGATGTGTTATTTTAGTGCCAAGAATGTCTACATTGTTTACTCTGGACCCTATTTTGAAATTGGCATCTCTTTTAATTTGTGTGAAATTGGCCAAATTGCCAATTTCTGACCACTTTATTGGGTAGTTCAAATCGGTAAATGGGCAGTTTCTTGTACTCAATTGATAGAAAAAATGGAATTCTAATGAAATAGCTATGAGTGTGGTCAACTGGAACAAAGGAATTGGCCAAAAACAGGGCTCAAAGTTGACAAAATCGCTGATGCATATATATCGCTGAGACCGCTAACTTTACGGGAGTGTAATTCCGTGAGTTTTCAACCAAATTTGGTACTTTTGGTGTCATTACCATTGGGAAAAGATTCTCCATCATTTCATAAAAAATATATTTTTTTTTTCCAAAAATTTTGCGACATAGAATGACAGTTTCAGAGAGGGGCTTGTGGCAGTCAAAGGGTTAACCCTTTGACTGTCTCGGCCGTATATATACGTCTTACGAGGTACCGTGTTTGACGTATATATACTCATAAATTCTAGCGGCTTCAAATCAAGCAGGAGAAAGCTGGTAGGCCCACATGTGAGAGAATGGGTCTGTGTGGTCAGTGTGCACCATATAAAAAAAATCCTGGAGAACGCAGTGCATAATGAAAAAAAAAAACTCCGACCGTTTTTTTTAATTAAAATGCCGACTTTGTGGTCTATTTTCGTATAGTATTTATGGTTGTATTCTCGTTTTCTTGGTCTCATTTGATAGAATGGAAAACATATTATAGAAATAGAGGTAAGGCTTTTGATAGAGTTCCGCACCATAGACTGTTAAAGAAAGTGGCAGCTCATGGCATTGGGGGAAAAGTGCTCTCGTGGATCGAGTCATGGCTCACTGACAGGAAGCAGAGAGTGTCCATAAATGGGGTTAAATCCGAGTGGGGATCTGTAACAAGTGGCGTTCCACAGGGATCAGTCTTGGGCCCGTTGTTGTTTATAATATATATCAATGATCTTGATGAGGGAATTACTAGTGATATGAGCAAATTCGCCGATGACACAAAGATAGGTAGGATAATTGATTCAAACGTAGATGTTAGGGAACTTCAGGAGGATTTAAACAAACTCTATTCTTGGTCAGAAAAGTGGCAGATGCAGTTCAATGTTGATAAATGCAAGGTTCTGAAGCTTGGGAGTGCCCATAACCCTAGTACTTATAAATTAAATGATGTAGAACTTAGCCATACAGATTGCGAAAAGGACTTGGGGGTTATGGTGAGCAGCAACCTTAAACCAAGACAGCAATGCCTAAGCGTACGTAATAAGGCAAATAGATTACTGGGATTTATATCAAGAAGTGTAAGCAACAGAAGTCCAGAGGTCATACTGCAGCTTTATAAAATCATTAGTAAGGCCTCACCTTGATTATGCAGCTCAGTTTTGGTCTCCGTATTACAAAATGGACATAAATTCGGTTAGAAAACATTCAGCGTAGGATGACTTAAATTAATACATAGCATCAGAAATCTTCCTTATGAAGAAAGATTGAAGACTCTTAAGTTACATTCACTTGTTAGACGAAGAATGAGGGGAGACCTGATCGAAGTGTATAAGTGGAAGATATGGTATTAATAAAAGGGGATATTAATAAGGTTTGAGGATGTCTCTCCAAAAGGAACCCGCAGTAATGGATTTAAATTAGTTAAGTTTAGATTAGAAAGGACATAGGAAAGTATTGGGTTTGGAAATAGGGGTAGTTGATGAGTGGGAACAGTCTACTAGTTGGGTTATTGAAGGCTTGGACTTTGGGTAGTTTCAAATCTAGGTTGGATAAGTACATGAGTGGAAGGGTTGGATTTGAGTGGGACATTCAATCAGAGCTTATTTCTTGGGTTAGCATTGAAAATTGGGTTGGGTAAATGTTTTGTTAGTGGGATGAATTGTAAAGGACCTGCCTAGTATGGGCAGCAGGCCTCCTGCAGTGTTCCTCCTTTCTTATGTTCTTATGTTCTTATGTTAAAAAGAACCTAGAAATGGAGCTCAAAGTAGGGGAAATGTTTGATTTTTGCTGTGTTCAAAGAAAAACAAATGATGTCATTGTCCAATAAATGTCCAATAGCCATTCTAATATGCAGTCATGAATGGGTTGATGTTATTTATACAATTATTACAGTATTGCAGTAGTCTGCATAATAGTAAGTCTTTATTTTTTGTTTGAATAAAAATTAAAAAATAGAAAGCAAGAGTAATATCAGAGGGGCCTGGAAATGACTGATGAACAAAGAAAATGTTATTTTAGAGCCAGGAATGTCTGCATTGTTTTTCTGGACCTTATTTTGAAATTGTCATATTTTTAGTTTTCGTGAAATTGGCCAAATTGCAAATTTCTGACCACATTATCAGGTAGTTGAAATCGGTAAAATGGCAGTTTCTTTACTCAATCGATTGAAAAACATGGAGTTCTAAAGAAATAGCTATGAGTCTGGGCAACTGGAACAAGGGGAATTAGCCGAAAAATAGGGCTCAAAGTGGGCAAAAAATCGCCGATTTGAAAAACAGCCCCGGGGTTTCGTAACTTCGCGGGGAGCATAATTCCCGTCATTTTTTTCATCAAATTTCGTTTTTTTGGTGTCATTACAATCGGGAAAAGATTCTCTATCATTTCATAAGAAAAAATCATTTTTTTTTTTTTAAATTTTGCGACACCAGGAGACACCTCAGGATTGGGGGTTGCGACAGTCTAAGTCGGAGAAAAACATCATCATAAGTTTCATTCCGCTACAAGCAAGTTGTGTATAACCTGTCCCTGGATCACACACACAAGCTCTATAAATTTCAAGCCTACAGAAGTTAGAAACTAAATTTATTTAGGTACAAGTACAATTACCATACATAGTAACAAATACAGAGAAAGATCGAAGTCAGCAGGATTCGCACCCGAGTGTGGAGAGTGGCACTGCTCTCCACTGTCTAGACTTTAGTAGTTTTTAAACATTAAGATTAGTCTGCCCGAAATGTCCCGGCATGATAGTGGTTTTCTTTGTACAAATCAAAACTGTAATTACACACTGTAACCTTTGCAAAGAAAAAAAATCTTACCTATTTTTGTGGGGGTTTGAACCCCTGTGACCGTGATCATTCTCTGTACAGAAAGCCCTTACCCCAACCCTTGGAATCTCTGTATATGTATATCATCTCATTATATCATCATAGCTTTGATGGCAAATATGTGTAAATCCCCAGGAAAACCCCAAAAGTAGACAACTTATTTCCACGGGGTCCTTGTAATTTTTATTGTTTAAAGTCTAGCTGAAAGTTACTAGAAATCAGATTATACCCTTTGAAAGAAAAAAAACAACGTGCAACCACTATAATGTAACAAAAATGCTTTATAAAACTGAAAATTGAGAAATGAGACACGTGCAACACTTGGCTATCATTTTTTTGGAATAAAGATACCGAACTCCTGCACAAGTGTCTCACTAAAGATGTGAAATAATGAGAAGAAAAAAATGAACTTGAGTCCTGGAGATGGGAAGTACAGTGCCTGCACTCTGAAGGAGGGGTGTTAATGTTGCAGTTTAAAAACTGTAGTGTAAAGCACCCTTCTGGCAAGACAGTGATGGGGTGAATGATGGTGAAAGTTTTTCTTTTTCGGGCCACCCTGCCTTGGTGGGAATCGGCCAGTGTGATAATAATAAAAATAATAAAAAAAAATGGAGTGAATATGGAAAATAAGAAATAGTGTACCTGTGCTCTGGGTCCATATAGACAGTGAGTGGTTGAACTTTGTTGACCAGGAAGACGTACGCAACTTTCCTGCTCAAGATCATAGTCACTTCTTGGAAGAACCTTTCAAAGTTCCACATTCGCTGAGGATCCACTTCTAGCAATCCTGCTAGCAAGGGCGTTACTAGTTTTCTTAGGCCTCTGCAATAAAAAAGTTCAATTACATCTTGCTATAAAAACTATCAAGGATACTCAGTTTTAAAAGATTTTATTAATCTTTTTTTTTTTTGGTAGGGGAACATCTAGGTGAGCACAACCAGGTAGTATGTGTGTCTCGGACTCAGTAGACGGAGGATTGAGCCTCCACGATGTTTTGTACTGAATGATCCACATGGGTTTAGCGCTTAATATGAATTATGTATTAATTAAATTTTTGTACTTTACGAAGATTAACACTGACTTTCTATTTTGGAAACCCTCACTGCCCTCATATATATATTTTTTAACACACCAAGGCAGGGTGACCTGAAAAAGAAGAAACACTCTCATTATCATTCACTCCATCACTGTCTTGCCAGAGGCATGCCAACACTACAGTTAAATTAAAAAACTGCAACATCCCCCTTCAGAGTGCAGGCACTGTACTTTCCACCTCCAGGAATCAAGTCCAGCACACCAGCCATCTCCAAGATAGGGTGACCCACAAAAGAGGAAACACATTCACTATCATTCATCCAATCACTGTCTTGCCAGAAGCATACTAACATCACAGTTTATATGTCCCTCTGAACTGTAACACCCTCAACCCCTCCTTCAGAGTGCAAGGATTGTATTTCTCACCTCTAGGACTTATGTCCCTCTAACTGGTTTCCCTAAATCTTTTCAGAAATGTTAACCTGTTTGCAGCATAGTTTTTTCAATTTATCAGCTGTCTCCCATCAAAACAGGGTGACCCAAAAAAGAAAATACATTCACCAGTATTCACTCAATTCCCATCTTTCAAGAAGGGTGCTGACACCACAATCAGATTACTCTCCAACTGCAACATCTCCAGTCCATCTTTAGACTGCAGGAACTGCTTTCCCCACCTCCAGGACTCAAGTTCCAGCTAACTAGTTTCCCCTTCACTCCCTTCATAAAAGTTATCTTGCTCACACACCAACAGCACACGTCCATCAAAATTCACTTGTCTCCATGCACCCTTATATAACACACATACAGCATATTTTTTTTAATGCAATGACCATCTCCCACTGAGGTGGGGTGACACAAAAAACCAGAAATGCTTTCACCATCATTCACATATAATCACTGTCTTTGCAGAGGTGCCTAGATATGGCAGTTTAGATGTCACTCCAAATAGCCAATATCCCAAACCCCTCCTTTAAAGTGCAGCATTGTACCTCCCACCTCTGGGACTCAAGTCGGATAACTGGTTTCCCTGAATCCCTTCACAAAATATTACCGTGCTCACACTCCAACAGCTCATCAGGTCCCAAAAACCATTTGTCTTTATTCACTTCTAACACACTCACACATGCCTGCTGCATGTCCAGGCCCTTTTTCACATTGTACGAATACTAATTTACAAGGAGAAGGGGTACTAGCCCCTTGCTCCCAGCATTTTAGTCACCTCTCGTAACATGCAAGGCTTACAGGGAAAGGATTCTTCTCCACCTTCCCCATGGAGATCACAGCAATAGCATGAACACAAAATTCTGCGACTCACAGACTGAGCTGGCATGTTTCAGGAAGGTCAGTGCACCATTCAATGGGTCCATTTTCTGATGTCTGTACACCTGAGATAACTCCCGGGGCTTTCTCAGTGGTAATGTGGTACATGGTTTCCTTGTTACGTCTTCCTCCATAAGGTCGAAAAGGAAGTTGTCCAGTAGCAACATGGTACAGAGTCACGCCTATAAATATATGCTAAATAAATAAGTAAATAAATAACTACTGTCACTTAATAAGTAAAAAAACAAATACTGTAATTACTTTAAATAAATATCAGTGTTGAAAAGTCAATAAATGAATACAAGTTAGGGACTTACTGTCTTCATGCTGGGTAATTATCTTAAGTTTTATCTCCAAAGTTATTGCTTTTGCACCATTGTAAAGTCAAAATATCGTACGACGAACAATCGTAAGTCAAGGAGCACCTGTATAGCTTATTATGTGGCATAATATGTTTTTATACACAATTTGCAAAAATGAAATTTAATATAGAATTCTTAGTCTTAAGAAAACAATTTTCTAAACACAGAAGTTATAAAAAGGTTTTATTCATTTAAGAATTAGAAAAAGGTTAGCATATAAACTAGGTTATTACAGAAAACAAGTTGACTGTGTGGACTGAAAGTTTACCTTAAGGGAAGAGATGCACCATCCACCGCCAATACACGAAAATTTCGGGAAATGGATCATTGTACATATTTTTTTTTTTTTTTCATTTTACTTTACAAGTTTGATGTCTTTATTGTTCATAATTATACTCTACAGTCTGATTTCCTGATACTGAAATAGCCCTGTTTTCCAATATAAGACTCTTATATTGTATACCATTCTTGCACAAGACTCTTAGTAAATGGCTCACGAGTTATTTTTTTTTTTTATTAACACACTGGCCAATTTCCGCCAAGGCAGAGTGGCCCGAAAAAGAAAAACTTTCACCACCATTCACTCCATCACTGTCTTGCCAGAAGGGTGCTTTACACTACAGTTTTTAAACTGCAACATTAACACCCCTCCTTCAGAGTGCAGGCACTGTACTTCCCATCTCCAGGACTCAAGTCCGAAATCATAATAAAAAGATTGAAAACAAACTAGGGAACAGGTGGGGTTTGAACCCATGGTGAATGCTAGAACTCAGGCCAGTGTGTTAACCACTGGGCCAGCTGCCTCTAATAAGATTCATCCAACTATTTGGATGAATCTTATTACAACCAGCTGGCTGGCTGGTTGACGTCCTGGCCTGGACTTTTACAACTCACTTGCCATAGGTTGAAACCCCACTCGTTCCCTGGTTTCTTAACAAATAATGGCCAGACTTCATAAAATTTGATAACACATAAATTCACAGACAGTACAGGAGGATCCTGCACATACAGATCCCACTTATCAGCATTCCATGTTTTCATGGGTTTCAACTGACCCATTGTTTATTATATTCGGTGCTTTTCCACTTTTCCACTGTCCTGTTTCCTGACAAACTTTAACTAATCTAACTTCCAGGTGTATACACCCCAGGATCTGAGAGCCAACCCCTGCAACCACAAATAGGTGAGTGGAACAATCTGCAGAGTGATGTAGTGGAGGCAGGATCCATACATAGCTTTAAGAAAAGGTATGATAAAACTAAGGGAGCAGGGAGAGAGTGGACCTAGTAATGATCAGTGAAGAGGTGGGGCCAAGATCTACAAAATGACCCCTGCAACCACAAATAGGTGAGTACAAATAAGTGAGTACTAGGCGAGTACACAAGTGCATGCTTGTGGGCAAGCATAAACGTATATATAAATACTTGCTTGAGATACTAAAAACATATGTAACCTTTGTCTTACCTATAGACCAAAGGTCTACTCTGGCTCCAAATGTTTTTCCCACCGGCTTTCTGAGTACAGCTCTCTCATACATATCAGGATGCTGGAAAGGAAAATAACACATTTAAAATGATAACAATAATAATGTTCTATAGCAATTATTTTAGTCATAATTTTCTATGGTCAAGTGAGGTGACAAAGGCAACAAACAAGCTAGGTTGGTAGATAAGACACATAGGCAACATTTAAGCAACGTTTCGCCTACACAGTAGGCTTCTTCAGTCAAGTACAGAAAAAAGGCAGGAAACGTTTCGGAATAAAGTTGCCTAAATGTTGCCTATGTGTCTTATCTACCAACCTGTCGGTATTGTATACCATTTGATAATCAAACAAGTTAGGTAATGAAAGACTGGATATCAGATTGGAGGAAAAAAAAGAATATGGAGGAAGTGAATGTATTCAGATATTTGGGAATGGATCGTGTCAGCAGACGGGTCTGTGAAAGATGAGATGAATCATAGAATTGATAAGGGGAAAAAGGGGAGTGGTGCACTGAGGAATCTGTGGAGACAAAGGACGATTGTCCGTGGAAGCAAAGAGGGGAATGTATGAGAGTAAAGTTATACCAACACTCTTATATGGGTATGAAGTATAGGTGGTGAATGTTGCAATAATATGGCTGGAGGCAGTCATATCTGAGGGCAATGTCTGGTGCTCATATTATGCACAAAATCCATAGCTTGGAGATTAGGAGGTGTGGGGTTTCTTAAAGTATTATCCAGAGGGTTGAGGAGGGGTTATTGAGGTGGTCTGGTCACTTAGAGATGATGGAACAAAATAGGATAACTTGGAATGTGTGTAAATCTGTAGTGGAAGAAAGGCAGGTTAGGAGTTGTCCTAGGAAAGGATGGAGGGAGGAGTGTAAAAGAGGTTTTGTCTGCAAAGGGTTTGAATATCCAACAGGCGTGTGTGAGCGTGTTAGATAGGAGTGGAGACAAATGGCTTTTGGGATTTGATGAACTGTTGGAGTGTGAGCAAGGTAACATTTTGTGAAGGGATTCAGGGAAACTGGTCAGCCAGACTTGAGTCCTAAAGGTGGGAAGTAAAATGCCTGCACTTTGAAGGAGAGATTAGGATATTTGCTGTTTGGTGAAACACCTAAACTGTCATATCTGCACCCCTATGGCAGGACAGTGATAGTGTGAATGATGGTTAAAGTTTTTCCTTTTCGGGTCACCCTGCCTCAGTGGGAGACAGCCAGTGTGTTAAAACAAAAATAAACTACTGTACATGGTCATGAGACAGACAAAACAGACTAGCAATCATGCCAGAGTGCAAAACATTTAACCAATTTCTATTTCACACTCATATTTCACACACAAATATGTAAGTAAGAAGGGCTGGGTTTAATTTGAACCTGAGGTATTGAAGCAAATTCTTGGGTAACTTTGGGAAAGGGTTAGAAAATCAGGTGGGTGGAAATGATTGGCTTTGAGAAGGACTTGCCTAGTATGGGCCAGTAGGTCTATTGCAGTGTTCCTTCATTATATTCTTGACAATGGTACCTTTATTAACAGATGCTTTCTGCCAACATAAGAACATAAAGAATGAGCACTGCATTAGGCCTACTGGCCTATGCTAGGCAGGTCCAGGTCACAAATGTTATTACTTGATTCATTTCTAACAGAGATGTGAATGAAGGATCAAAGAATAATAGAGGAAAATACAAAAATAACCCACACATATTAGAGACAGAAGCTGATGACAACCTTTCAGTCTGACTTGGATCATTTACAAAGTCAGTGTGACTTTGTAAATACAGTGGACCCCCGCATAATGATCACCTCCGAATGCGACCAATTATGTAAGTGTATTTATGTAAGTGCGTTTGTACGTGTATGTTTGGGGGTCTGAAATGGACTAATCTACTTCACAATATTTCTTTTGGGAACAAATTCGGTCAGTACTGGCACCTGAACATACTTCTGGAGTGAAAAAATATCGTTAACCGGGGGTCCACTGTAGTCAAAGTCAGACCGAAACGTCACCACAAAGTTCTCTCTCCTATGTGCGGGTTATCTGTGCATTGTTCCAGTCATGGTATTGTGTCTTTTTTGTTTTTCAATAATAAACAAAACACAAGAGAAAGTCTCACCAAATATTCCTCTGTGCCATACAGAGACATGAACTGTTGGTCATCCTGAAGTTCTCGTGCTGCGCCAAAGTCAGTTAACTTGTATATTGTCGACCCATCAACATCTATGAACTTCATGATGTTGCCGGGCTTCAGATCACGGTGAACGAGGTTGTTATCTCGAAGGTGTTTCATACCAGCAGCTGTAAAAATTATGATTATTATTATTTTTTTTTTTCAACAAACCGGCCGTATCCCACCAAGGCAAGGTGGCCCAAAAAGAAAAACAAAAGTTTCTCTTTTTAAATTTAGTAATTTATACAGGAGAAGGGGTTACTAGCCCCTTGCTCCCGGCATTATGATTATTATATTTGTGATGAATGGTTTGAAAAACCGACAAGTTGAAGATTGAGACACTTATGCAGCATATGGGAATCTTTATTCAGGAAACGTTTCGCCACACAGTGGCTTCATCAGTCCAATACAAAGAGGAAGGCGTAAGGAGAGGAGGAGTATGAGGTAATCAGTCCCTCAGCCTGGAGTCGATGTGTTCAAGATTGATGGACTGAACACATTGACTCCAGGCTGAGGGACTGATTACCTCATACTCCTCCTCTCCTTACGCCTTCCTCTTTGTATTGTACTGATGAAGCCACTGTGTGGCAAAGCGTTTCCTGAATAAAGATTCCCATATGCTGCATAAGTGTCTCAATCTTCATTATTATATTTGTGGAAATTGAAACACCCATAAGGGTGGAGAATTAGACACTTGTGCAACATTTGGGAATCTTTATTGTGGAAATGTTTCTCCAGCCAGTGGCTGGAGAAAGAAGAATGGAGAAAGATGAGGAGTTTGACGTAATCAGTCCCTCAGCCTGGAGTCGATGTGTTAAGAACATAAGAAAGAAGGAACACTGCAGCAGGCCTACTGGCCCATGCGAGGCAGGTTCAAGTCATCTACTAGCTCAAGCCACTGACCCAACCTGGCCAGGTCTAGGTCATATCCACTTAAGGAAGGAGCACAATATCAGACCTACTAGCACAAGCTAATCAGGTCCAACTCACACCCACCCACACCCACTCATGTATTTATCTAACCTATTTTTAAAACTACACAATTTTAGCATCTATGTTCAGACTAAACACATTAATTCCAGGCTGAGGGACTGATTACCTCATCTTTTGTATACAGTTCTCCAGTCTTCCCATTATGTCCATGAATTAGTATTGATAAAGCCACTGGATGTCGAAACGTCTACAAATAAAGATATGTTGCGCATGTCTCTTAATTCTTCATCTTGTCGGTATTGTATACATGTTCAATCATAATGATCATGTATCAATATACAATAGTGGTGAGAAACATGAAAGAGAAAGAAGTGTAAGTGTTAAATAAAGAACATTAGTAGAAAGGATACTAGTCACAACTACGGGTCCACTTCCCTTTATCCGAAACCCTTGGAGCCAGTATTGTTTCAAATTTCAGAAATTTTTGAAGTTCAGAATGATTCTGAACGCTGCCACATGGCAGCATGACCCAGCACTGAGATGACTGATGCTCCACACTCCATGAAAACCTTCGGTTTTCAGAACTTTTCCAATTTCAGAATTTCGGATAAAGGATTGTGGACCTGTACAGTATTACAAAAGGTCCCTAACGCGTTCATAAGTTGAAGACTTCCTGTATTATGAATATTATACACAATTCAGGTCCCCAACGTGTTTGTAAGCTGAGGACTTACTGTACAAGTTACGGATTTGCCACCTTCATGCTGGGTAACTATCTTAGGTTTCATCTCTAAAGCAACTTAAGATTTAATTTAAGTCTGCCCGAAATGCCTAGCCATGCTAGATGTTGCTAGTGGTACACTCTGTAATGCCTAGCCATGCTAGGTGTTCTAGTGGTACAGTCTGTAATGCCTAGCCATGCTAGGTGTTCTAGTGGTACACTCTGTAATGCCTAGCCATGCTAGGTGTTCTAGTGGTACACTCTGTAATGCCTAGCCATGCTAGGTGTTCTAGTGGTACACTCTGTAATGCCTAGCCATGCTAGGTGTTCTAGTGGTACACTCTGTAATGCCTAGCCATGCTAGGTGTTCTAGTGGTACACTCTGTAATGCCTAGCCATGCTAGGTGTTCTAGTGGTACACTCTGTAATTATTATTTTACTACATGTAAACCACACAATAACCAAATTCTGTAAACTCAGCATTGTAATCCTTATAGAGAATAAACTTTGAATTTGAATTTGAATTGAATTGAACTGATTTTGCACCATCATATGGTCGAAACATTGTAAGTCGAACCATCATAAGTCAAGGAGCACCTGTATATGGCTCACAAAATAGCAATAACACGAGTGCAAACAAATCATGGAACAGGTGGGGTTTCAACCCATGCAAGTGGGTGCTAAAATTCAAGAGGTTCACACACTGGTCTATGAGTTTTTTCACTCACTTGCCATGGGTTCACACCACCACCTGTGGTTTGCAACAATATTTTTTGATGCATGTACCTCATGACAGAAGAATTTAATACTGTCCATGAGAACAGCACAGTCCTGTTACCCTGGAATGTACAGAAAGAAAACTCTAGAATAAATTGGCACTAAAGAATAAGGAAGAATACTCAGAATAAACTGGTAATAAAGAATAAACATTCAGAATAAACTTGTACTAAAGAATAAGGAAGAATATTCATAGAATAAACTGGTACATAAGTACCTACCATCCGACTTACGACCGAGTTCGGTTCCGAGAAGCCGGTCGTAAGTCGAAATGGTCGTAAGTCGAACTTTACTACTGAATATCAACAAAACATTTTTGTAATGACTTTATTTTATTGTTTTATTTTGGTATTTCATGTTTTCTTTACTTTTTATGCTGTAAGTACTGTATTTTATACTGTAAGGTTTAGGATAAACACTGTGTACAACACAAATACTTGTTTATTTCCCAGAAATTTGGCATAAAAAACACGGTCGTAAGTCAAGTGGTCGTAAGTCTAGCAGGTCGTAAGTCGGATGGTAGGTGTATTAATAAAGAATATTTGCTAGCAGAAAGAGAAAGAACAAGATACCATAGCTCTACACTAAGAGAGGTACTTAAGGAATATATCACTAAGAATACTGTAAGAATGGCAGGATCCCAGAATAAAATACAGAATTATGCAGTAAGTAGTGCAACTACTGAAACTATTAAAAACTGCATAATTAAAATTACAGGCGGTCCCCAATTTACAGCGCCTCGCTTTACAGCATTTTGCTAATACAGAAGTTTTCAATATACCCATTCCTCATTTCTTCAGACTTCCTACACTAAATATACAGTGGACCCCCGCATAACGATTACCTCCGAATGCGACCAATTATGCAAGTGTATTTATGTAAGTGCGTTTGTACGTGTATGTTTGGGGGTCTGAAATGGACTAATCTACTTCACAATATTTCTTATGGGAACAAATTCGGTCAGTACTGGCACCTGAACATACTTCTGGAGTGAAAAAATATCGTTAACCGGGGGTCCACTGTATTCACCACTCACAATAAGCTAAGGATGAAAATACTTCAAGGCAAGTAATGTGTGTACTGTACAGTGGACCCCCGGTTTACGATATTATTTCATTCCATTAGTATGTTCAGGTGCCAGTACTGAACAAATTTGGTCCCATAAGGAATATTGTGAAGTAGATTAGTCCATTTCAGACCCCCAAACATACACGTACAAACCCACTTACATAAATAAATTTACATAATTGGTCGCATTGGGAGCTGATCGTAAAGCGGGGGTCCACTGTATATGCATTTTCTAGGCCTGGCTCTATTGCTCACTTAATATATATGCATAGACTTTTATATGCATCTGAAAGTGAAAAAAAAAGCTATGTTTCACTTTACAGCAGTAGCCTGGAACCTAACCTGCTGTATAAGCAAGGCCCTCGTGTACAGCAGTAGCCTGGAACCTAACCTGCTGTATAAGCAAGGCCCTCGTGTACAGCAGTAGCCTGGAACCTAACCTGCTGTATAAGCAAGGCCCTCGTGTACAGCAGTAGCCTGGAACCTAACCTGCTGTATAAGCAAGGCCCTCGTGTACAGCAGTAGCCTGGAACCTAACCTGCTGTATAAGCAAGCCCTCCTGTACAGCAGTAGCCTGGAACCTAACCTGCTGTATAAGCAAGGCCCTCGTGTACAGCAGTAGCCTGGGACCTAACCTGCTGTATAAGCAAGGCCCTCGTGTACAGCAGTAGCCTGGAACCTAACCTGCTGTATAAGCAAGCCCTCCTGTACAGCAGTAGCCTAGAACCTAACCTGCTGTATAAGCAAGGCCCTCGTAGATACATCTGCTGTAGTAAGCAAGCTGGAGACCTAACCTGCTGTATAAGCAAGCCCTCTGTACAGCAGTAGCCTCCTGAAAACTAACCTGCTTGTATAAGCAAGGCCCTCGTGTACAGCAGTAGCCTGGAACCTAACCTGCTGTATAAGCAAGCCCTCCTGTACAGCAATAGCCCAGAAACTAACCTGCTGTATAAGCAAGCCCTCCAGTCACCTTACACCTGCTGTCCCTGTTCAACACTTAGCAGTAATGTACCAGCAGTTTAGCCACTGTGGGTACATACTGAGCAAATAACCAAGTTACAGCAACTCTGCATTACCAGATTACTCTAACAGTATGTCACTGATGATATGTGCATCAGGTACAGAACAACATTTACTAATTAGTACTTCATACAGAAGTTTAAATGGCTATATATTTACAGTAAATGTAGTCATAACTTTAATTCAAAATGCTAGTACATACGATACAGAACAACATGTTTCCAGCCACATGCTAGTACATACAGTAACAGAACACAAACAGTTTCCAGCCATCATGCTAGTACATACAGTAACAGAACCAACAGTTTCCAGCCAACATGCTAGTACATACAGTAACAGAACCAACAGTTTCCAGCCAACATGCTAGTGCATACAGTAACAGAAAGTTTCCAGCCAACATGCTAGTGCATACAGTAACAGAAACAACAGTTTCCAGCCAACATGCTAGTACATACAGTAACAGAAACAACAGTTTCCAGCCAACATGCTAGTGCATACAGTAACAGAACCAACAGTTTCCAGCCAACATGCTAGTACATACAGTAACAGAACCAACAGTTTCCAGCCTACATGCTAGTACATACAGTAACAGAACCAACAGTTTCCAGCCAACATGCTAGTACATACAGTAACAGAAACAACAGTTTACAAGAAACATGCTAGTACAGTAACAGAAACAACAGTTTCCAGCCAACATGCTAGCACAGCAACAGAAGCAACAGTTTCCAGCCAACATGCTAGTACATACAGTAACAGAAACAACTGTTTACAAGCAACATACAAAAGAAACAACATTCACACATGCTAGACATACAGTAACAGAAACAACAGTTTACAAGCAACATGCTAGCACATACAGTAACAGAAACAACAGTTTACAAGCAACATGCTAGCACATACAGTAACTGAAACAACAGTTTCCAGCCAACATGCTAGTACACACAGTAACAGTAATAGTAACAGTAAGCGACCAACCTAGATGTGACAGCACTAGAATAAACTCTCCTTCCTCCAGACCATGACTGTTTTCCGGGTCATCCAATATGTTGAACAGTGAACCTCCAGTACACAGCTCCATCACAATAACTTTCCCTCGGCCCTCTTGCTGGTGGTGGGTTTTTGGGGATAGAAGAGTCTTTATATTACACATAACATACAGTAGGCCTGCCATATCCGCAAGTTCGGTTTCCACCATTTCAGTTAGCCATTGTTTACCCTAGCCAAAAAATAACCATTAATTTTGCTTAATAAACACCAAAGTGCAAAAGTAGTGATGGTGACAGTTGTTCAAAGTCAAAGAGAAGTCGTGAAGTGCTTTCCATCAGTGAATAAAAGTGTTAATTCTCGACTTATTATGCATAATTTATCAACTGAACTTTATCATAGGTATATATGTAAGTGAAAAACTACTTAAATATAGGGTATGCTACTATCCACAGTTTCAGGTATCCACAGTAGGTCTTGGAGTGTATCCCCTGTGGATACAGGGGTCCTACTGTATTTTTAATACAGCCTCTCCTCAATTAATGACGGAATTCCATTCCTTAGACCACGTAGGTAAACGAATTCGTCGCTAAGCAAGGAGCATACTATAATGGTAGTGGGTTTGATGGTTATGTACATTGTAAAACAGAATTGAGGAAATCAGCTCTAATATACATTATTTAGATATGCATACTAGTCAGAGAGCCCATCATAAATCCAATTCATTGGTAAACAAGTACGTCGCTAAGTGAGGAAAGGCTGTATAACAAGACATGCTTAACAAAGTGCAGTGTGCAGTGCCTGCACTCTGAAGGAGGGGTGTTGATGTTACAGTTTTATAACTGTAGTGTAGGCACATCTCTGGCAAGACAGTGATGGAGTGAATGATGATGAAAGTGTTTCTTCTTTTTCAGGTCACCCTGCCTTGGTGGGAAACGACCAATGTTTTAATAAAAAAAAAAGCTTAACAATTCGCAATGAGGTGAAATTATTTACAAACATTCTCTCTCAGTCCACAGCAGTATTCGAACCTGCAAACTCAGCGTCAAAGTACACAGTACAGTAAGTCCTTGACTTACAAACACATTGGGGACCTTCTGAATTATGTATAATAATATATAATAATGATATTATACACAATAATGATATATACATCATACGTACACAAGATTCTCAATGTGTCTGTAAGTCAAGGACTTCGTGTATTTTATCAAGAAGGCCAGATCCTGGTACTGCTGATAAGTCACTTAGTAATTCATAAAGTAATAATCTGAAAAATTATTAACATCATTACTTGCTGTCAAACACATTCAGTCATTCATTGCAGCAACTGATGAATCAATTCAGAATGATGACATTATTTGTCCTTCTGTCCATAACACATTTACTCCAAGAAGCCTTGACAATAATAAAAGTATTGAAAATAAAGTACAACTGACATTAAAAGCCTCGACAATAATAAAAGTACAGTGGAGCCTCTGCTTACGAGTTTAATCCATTCCATGACCTTGCTCGCAACTGGATTTGCTTGTTTGCAGAGTCAATTTTCCTCATTTAAATTAATTGAAATGGAATTAATTCGTTCCGGTGGAATTCCAGGCACGAGAAAATACTTTAACGATTTCCCTAATATCAACTCTACAGCTTATTTATCTATCACAATTCATGTAATATGACATAATAAATAATATTAATAACATAGAAACATGATAAATACACTAGAATGAATAAAATACATGTCATTAGGTATGTGGCTAGTGGTGGTGACAGCAGCCATTGTTGTTGGGGTTTATAAGGTCACCACAGCGGCCATTCCTACTCCTGACTACATGTGTAGAGAACCTAGGATAACCCAAAAAAGTCAGAGTGACTTATAAGTGCTACACTCTTAAAGCTACACTTAATTGCTACACTCTTAATGATACACTTTGCCACTGCTGCTTCATGTTGTCTGCCACTGCTACCTCATGATGTCTACCACTGATGTCGCCAAAGAATCGAACATTTCTGCTATTTTGAGCTCAATTTCAAGGTACTTTTCATCGTGAAACCAATTAAAATCATATTTATTTTTGTAGTATACCTTCCATTCTATCACACGAGACCAAATAAAACGAGAATACAACCATAAAAACCATATGAAAATATACCGCTAAGGGGAAGCTAATGGCTGAGAAGTGAACTCCATTATTTATGGTCTGATTTCTTTCATTTTTGGTGTACGTTAAGAAGCATCTTTTCATCATACATTGCCCAAGTTTCAATAAGATAGTCCAACAAACAACTGAGATCCAATTCCCTAGATCAAGAGCAAGAGCCCCCTCACCAGTGTCAATTAACCTCCCTTGAGGCCCGCTGGCATCTGGAAATTTTGCTCGTGTCTGGAAGCAAAAAATCAACCAAGCAGATGCTTGTATCTGGAAAAACTCGCATGTGGATGCACTCGTAAGTAGAGGTTCCACTGTAATGAAAATAGAGTATAACTGACAATAGAAGCCTCAAAAATAATAAAAGTACTGAAAATCAAGTACAACTGACAATCATAGTAATAATAAAACCCCATCAAACTTAAAGTAATAAAATTCAGCTCAGATTCTGGCTAAAAATATGAATAGTTAATTTTATTAACACATTGGCCATTTCCCACCAAGGCAGGTGACCTTAAAAAGAAGAAACACTTTCACCATCAATCACTCCATCACCATCTTGCCAGAGCCGTGCTTACACTACATTTCAAAATGATAAAAATAAATACAAAAATTGAACCAAAAATTGACCACAATGCTTCTTAATGTTCTCTTCTATATTTTTCAAATGCCTGTTTTCAATATTTTTTTGTTACGTTTATTTTACAAGAGTATAATAAACTTGTAAACAGTCAAAACTAGTACTGCTATTTTCAATATTTTTTTACATTTTACGAGAGCATAATAAACTTGTAAACAGTCAAAACTAGTACTGCCTATTTTCAATATTTTTTTACATTTTACGAGAGCATAATAAACTCACAAACAATCAAAACAACCGCCTGTTTTCAATATTTTGTTTACATTTTATGAGAGTATAATAAATGCATAAACAATCAAAACAACTACGTGTACATGTACCTGTTTTCAATATTTTTTTTACATTTTATGAGAGTATAATAAACGCATAAACAATCCAAACAACTACGTGTACATGTAACTGTTTTCAATATTTTTTTACGTTAATTTTACAAGAACGTAATAAATGTATTTCTAAGCAATTATTAAAACTCACGTCCTCCTCTATGGCCAAGAGCTTGACGATACTCTCGTGGTTCACCTTCTTGAGGACCTCAAACTCCCTCATCTGTACTTCATGTGGCCGCATATGTGACAACTGATTGAAAGTCTTGACTGCCACCGGCTCACCTGTATGCTGAAATGTGTGTTAATCTATGTTAATTTTGAGTCCTATACACAAATAACCTGCACATAGGAGAGAGGAGCTTACAATGATGTTTCGGTCCGACTTGGACCATTTACACTCACACTGAAACGTCGTCGTAAGCTCCTCTCTCCTACGTGCGGGTTATTTGTGTATTGTTCCAGTCACAGTATTGTGCCTTTTTTTTTTTTATATTAACCTTTAAACGGTCCAAACGTATATATACGTTTTTTCAACATCTGAAAGCATATAAAAAAATGAAGATCTTTTTTTTTTGTTTTACATTTGAAAACGTGTAAAAAAACTTTTATCTACATTTTTTTTTGTTATATTTGAAAATATATAAAAAAAAGTAGATCTACTTTTGTAGCTACGAATTTGAACGTCGATCTGTTTTGACCGTTTAAGGGTTAAGAGTCCTGTCAATCTGCTATAAATACAGTAAATCAATGACTTACAAACATTATGCTTAACCAAACCTTTATTGTAAACATAATGAGGGAAAAAATTCCTGAGTCTGCACCTTGATAGCAACCTGAAATTCAACACCAATATCCAACACATAAAAAAAGTTTTTAAAACAGTTGGCATCTTCTCAAAGATGCATTATGATGTATACTGGGTATACATAGGTACAGTATACCCAGTGGTGGACCTACATTTTTGGGGCCCTGAAGCTTGAATTGTTATGGGGGCCCCTTTGCAACCAGCGTTGGGAGTCTATATGATACTTTAAAAACTTTTTAATTTTTATTCTGACAATTATTTTTTATGAATTACACTATAAAATTATTTAAAAAAAAAAAACTTCTCATGCAGTAGAAGGAAATGTTTAAGCAATGTGGACTATATCTGCCACTGGGGCCCCTCTGGGATTAGGGGCCTTCTGGGATTAGGGGCCTTCTGGGATTAGGGGCCTTCTGGGAATAGAGGCCCTCTGGGATTAGTGCTTTCTGGGAATAGGGGCCTTCTGGGATTAGCGGCCCTCTGGGATTAGTGGCTTTCTGGGATTAGGAGCCTTCTGGGATTAGAGGCCCTCTGGGATTAGTGGCCTTCTGGGATTAGGGGCCTTCTGGGATTAGGGGCCTTCTGGGATTAGGGGCCTTCTGGGATTAGAGGCCCTCTGGGATTAGTGCTTTCTGGGATTAGGGGCCTTCTGGGATTAGCGGCCCTCTGGGATTAGAGGCCCTCAGGGATTAGAGGCCCTCAAGGATTAAGGACCCTGAAGCTTAAACTTCATTAGTTTCATGGTAGATCTGCCCCTGAGTATACCATACCCAAACATACAGCACACTTACTCTATTAACCCCTTGGAAGACAGCACCAGTGGCACCCTTCCCCAGGACTGATGTTGTGCACCACACATAACTTGTCGAACCTCGGAGAAATGACATGCCGGACACGCTCACCTGACATGTTAAGATGTAGAAATTACACACGTGAAAAATACAGAAGCAATAAAATTACATTATATACAGTATTATACTGTACTTGGATTAAAGTGTCATAAGAACTTGTGGATTCAGGTAAACCAGTTAGTCGGACTTGAATCCTGGAGGTGGAAGTACAGTGCCTGCACTCTGAAGGAGAAGTGGGGATGTTTGCAGTTTGGAGGGGAATGTGAACTGTAGTATCAGCACACCTCTGGAAAGACAGTGACGGAGTGATGGTGAAAGTGTTTCTTCTTTTTTTTGGAGTTACCTTACCTCTGTAGGAGGCAGCCAATATTACAAAAAAAAAAAAAAAAACACTAATAAATGCAAAGTGAGAAACCATCTGGAGAGAATGTCTAAGAGAGATATGAATACTTCGGCTTCAGTCGTATCTGCTGAAGAGGGTCTCTGAGGTTGAAATATATAGACCTCTCTTACCCCTTTCATATTTATCACTGCATATATGTACACAAAACTATTGTACAGTGGACCCCCGCATAGCGACTTTAATCCGTGCAAGAGGGCTCATTGTTATGCGAAATGATCGGTATGCGAATGAATTTTCCCCATAAGAAATAATGGAAATCAAATTAATCCGTGCAAGACACCCAAAAGTATGAAAAAAAAATTTTTACCACATGAAATATACATTTTCCTACACACAAAGAGAAGGATACATGCACAATAGTAGAGTAGTACATGCATAATATATATTGTGCATGTACTAGTCTACTAAATGAAGAATAAATGACACTTACCTTTATTGAAGATGCAGCAATGACTGATGAGACACTGTGTCCTGGGAGTGCCTTTTCCTCCTGAGTACTGTAGGTCCTGTTTGGCATTTTCTGCCAGAACAGGCCTTATCACACTGTGTATGCCACTATGATTCTTACATCTCTCAAACCAACCTTTGCTGGCTTTAAATTCACCAATATGAGCACTAGTTCCAGGCATTTTTCCCTGTTCACCTGAGTGTTAGTCGACTGGTGTGGGTTGCATCCTGGGAGACAAGATTAAGGACCCCAATGGAAATAAGTTAGACAGTCTTCGATGACACTGACTTTTTTGGGTTATCCTGGGTGGCAAATCCTCTGGGGTTAATTGTTTCTTGGTATTCTCAATAAGCCACACCAACAACGGTGCTACAGCAGCAGCAGCAGCAGCTGACAGTGATACAGCAGCAGCAGACGATGCTACAGCAGCAGCAGACGGAACTACAGCAGCAGCAGACGGTACTACAGCAGCAGCAGCAGCAGCAGCTGACGGCGGTACAACAGCAGCAGCTGACAGTGCTACAGCAGCAGCAGACGATGCTACAGCAGCAGCAGACGGTACTACAGCAGCAGCAGCAGCAGCTGACGGTGGTACAACAGCAGCAGCAGCTGACAGTGCTACAGCAGCAGCAGACGATGCTACAGCAGCAGCAGACAATGCTACAGCAGCAGCAGACGGTACTACAGCAGCAGCTGACGGTGGTACAGCAAGCAGCAGCAAGTGCAGCAGCAGCGCAGCGTGACGGTGGTACAGCAGCAGCAGCAGCTGTACCACCAATAGTAGCGATGGTTGATTGGGGTTTATTATACAACCTGGCCAGCTCGGAGACACGCACTCCACTTTCATACTTATCAATGATCTTTTTCTTCATCTCTATAGTAATTCTCACCCTTATTGCTGTAGGGTTGGCACTAGAAGCTTTCTTGGGGCCCATGGTCACTTATTTGCAGATAAAATCACCAAAAACACTGTAATAATACGAAATGTTCCGATTGTATGCTTGGATGTTACCGCGGAGGCTGGCTGGTAAACAATGCCACCGGCGGCACATGTGAGGCTGGCTAAGGGCGCACATTGGACGCGTCTCGGATGAAGAGCGGTGAGCGGGTTTTTGAGCGGTATGCGAGGCAAAATTTTTGCGATAAAAGCGAGCAGTATGCGGATTGAACCGTTATGTGATGCGTACGGTATGCGGGGGTCCACTGTATATTTAAGATTGTTTCCAGAATTTTAACAAACTTATATATAAAAAAAAAAACCATGAAAATAAGTCACTTTGCCTGACTTATGTTGGTGGGTAATTTACACTACGCAATTTACACAACAGCCTCTCCTTACTTAACGAAAGAGTTGCATTACTAAGACCATGTTAGTAAACATATTCGTTGCTAAACGAGAAGCATACTATAATGGCCATGGGTTTGTATCAACCAGATATTGTTTTAATGTCACCTTTGTACCATTTGTAACATTTTTTGTGTTTTTTAAATGTCTATATAGTAGTGTACTGTATATTGTAATAAACAGAACAGAGGAAATCAACTCTAATATATATTACACCTACCATCCGACTTATGACCTGCTCGACTTACGACCTGCTCGACTTACGACCTGCTCGACTTACGACCTGCTCGACTTACGACCACTCGACTTACGACCGTGTTTTTTATGCCAAATTTCTGGGAAATAAACAAGTATTTGTGTTGTGCAGAGTGTTTATCCTAAACCTTACAGTATAAAATACAGTACAGTGGACCCCCGCTTAACGATCACCTCCAAATGCAACCAATTATGTAAGTGTATTTATGTAAGTGCGTTTGTACGTGTATGTTTCGGGGTCTGAAGTAGACTAATCTACTTCACAATATTCCTTATGGGAAAAAATTCGGTCAGTACTGGTACCTGAACATACTACTGGAATGAAAAAAGTTCGTTAACCGGGGGTCCACTGTACTAACAACATAAAAAGTAAAGTAAAACATGAAATACCAAAATAAAACAATAAAATAAAGTCATTACAAAAATGTTTTGTTGATATTCAGTAGTAAAGTTTGACTTACGACCATTTCGACTTACGACCAGTTTCTCGGAACCAAACTCGGTCCTAAGTCAGACGGTAGGTGTATTTAGGTATACTACATACTAGCCAGAGAGCGTGTCGTAGTCAAAGTTGTTGGTAAACGAGTATGTCGCTAAGTGAGGAGAGGCTGTATTTTACTTATGTGTACTGAACCTTAATAAACTTATTTATTTACTAATCACTGGTCTCTTATACCTGGAGAGTATACTTCCTCGAGAGTATACCTGGAGAGTTTATCTTGACATTACTATATCTTTAGAGTATTCCTGGAGAGTATACCTGGAAAGTATACCTGGAGAGTATACCTGGAGAGGATTCTGGGGGTAAATGCCCCCGCAGTCCAGTCTGTGACCAGGCCTCATGGTGGATCAGGGCCTGATCAACCAGGCTGTTACTGTTGGCCACACACAACCCAACGTACAAACCACAGCCCGGCTGGTCAGGTACTGACTTTAGGTGCCTGTCCAGTGCCTGCTTGAAGACAGCCAGGAGTCTATTGGTAATCCCCTTTATGTATGCTGGGAGGCAGTTGAACAGTCTTGGGGCCCTGACATTTATTGTGTTGTTTCTTATCTTGCTAGTGGCACCCCTGCTTTTCACTGGGGGGATGTTGCATTGTCTGCCGAGTCTTTTGCTTTCACAGAGAGTGATTTTCATGTGCAAGTTTGGTATTAATCCCTCTAGGATTTTCCAAGTTCATATAATAATAATATAATATAATAATAATAATATCTTTATTTACTACAAGTACATGTACGAGGTATACAGTCCTAGCTGACAACAATGACATACTACTATGTAGAAAGCCCCTTGTTATGCTCCGCATGTCGGGCAAATTAGGTCAGTGTCCCAGGATGTGACCCACACCAGTCGACTAACACCCAGGTACTCATTTTACTGATGGGGAACATAGACAATAGGTGGAAAGAAACACGCCCAATGTTTCTACTCTGGCTGGGAATCGAACCCAGGCCCTCGCCGTGTGAACCGAGAGCATTAACCACCAGGCCACCAGAGCCCAATAATCATGTATCTCTCCCAGCTGCGTTCTAAGCAGTACAGGTTGAGGAACTTCAAGCATTCCCAGTAATTTAGGTGAAGGTTCTCTGTACATTTTCTAGGTCTGCAATTTCACCTGTCTTGAAAGGTGCTGTTAGTGTGCAGCAACATTCCAGCCTAGATAGAACAAGTGACCTGAAGAGTGTCATCATGGGCTTGGCATCTCTGGTTTTGAAGGTTATCATTATCTAGCCTCCCATTTTTCTAGCAGATGCAATTGACACAATATTATGGTCTTTGAAGGTGAGATCCTCCGACATGATCACTCCCAGGTCTTTTACATTAGTTTTTTGCTCTATTGTGTGTGGTTGGAATTTGTTTTACACTCCAATGTAGTTTTAATTTCCTCACATTTTCTGTAACAGAGTAATTGAAATTTCTCATCATTGAACTTCATATTGTTTTCTGCGGCCCATTTGAAGATTTGGTTGATATCTGCCTGGAGTCTTGTTGTCTTCAGTGGAGGACACTGTCATGCAAATTCGGGTGTCATCTGCAAAGAAAGATATGGCGCAGTCTCTTATATCCCTGTTTATGTCAGATATGAGGCTGAGGAACAAGATGGGAGCAAGTACTGTGCCTTGTGGAACAGAGCTTTTCACCGTAGCTGCCTCGGACTTTACTCTGTTGAATAATACTCTTTGTGTTCTATTTATTAGGAAATTATAGGCATTTACCAACTTTTCCTGTTATTCCTTTATCATGCACTTTGTGCACTATTACGCCATGGTCACACTTGTCAAAGGCTTTTTCAAAGTCTGTATATATTACATCTGCATTCTGTTTGTCTTGTCATGTTGCACTGGGTTGGATGACTGATGGGTATCTAAATGGGTGTGATCTTGCTTTTTAGAACACTTTCAAAGATTTTTCTATGGGACATTAGCGAATCGGTCTGTAGTTATTTGCTACTGCTTTGCTGCTCCCTTTGTGGAGTGAGACTATGTATACCTGGAGGGTATATCCTGGGTGGCTAACACTCCCTACCCTGGGTTATCCTGGGTGACTAACACTCCCTACCCTGGGTTATCCTGGGTGGCTAACCCTCCCTACCCTGGGT